ATCATATATATATATATATATATATATATATATAAATATATACGATATATAGCAAGTATGATATACTTTACAGAAAATTGAATATCACTGTCATAGCCGAGATTACAACACAAAAATAACGGGACTCTTTCCTCTAAAGTGGTCTTAACTATCTAAGCATTAACTCTAAGCACTCTTTAATCTATCAAACCTAGATTCGAGTCTTAGACGATAGAATACTCACGTTAAGGATCAAAACTTTATTCTAAAAGCCATTTTTTAAAATGACCGATTGAACTCACAACTTACAATCTAGTACTAACATTTGGTAACCATCTGTTATCGACTAACTTATCAACTCCCTCAATGAAGAACTTTGAGACTTCCAAATAGCCTCACAAACTTCATTGGTGCAAAACAATAATAAATTTATAGCCAAGCCTACAGGCTGAATATCGCAAGAATCATAACACAGATTCTACAATATTCAATCGTAATTAATTAATGGCTTGGTGTTAACATACGATTCATTACTCAACAAAATTATATCATTGATGACGCAACAATTAATTAATTTTCACAATTTCATAATGTCTTATATTGATTATATATCTTATTATATTGATTTTCAGCAACGTAAGAAATTGCAGAGGTATTTATCGCATTGAAAGTGGTGCATTTCATGGATTAAAAGAGCTAAGAACTGTGTAAGACTTTCCATTGATTATATATCAATAATTGCATATTCTTGACAACTACATCAAACAGTAAGAATTGAGTATGATTTAATTCATGGAAATAAAGATAAAATAGGAATAGCTACTTGTACATAAATGATAAAAATTACCAAATCTCAAATTCTCGAGATAAAATGATCATTTATAAAGCTTTTACAGTTTCCGTATAAATAATAAATTTTCAAAAGAAACTCCGAGATTTAATATAGCTTCGATTATAGTAAGGCTTTCAATGAGCGTTTTAAAGGAGTATCTAGTAAAATTAGCAATAAGAATTGTTGCTCCTTATTTGTGGTAGGTAAGATTTTATGTAACTTACCAGCTATTATTCAGTGCAAATACAGCCGTAGAGATTTAGTACCGTAGTTTACTAGTGTTTATTGTTATATATTATTTATTATTGCTATAAAGTTAGATAATCAATTAGTAGAATTTTAAATTCGACAAGCTCTTAAAATAAGGATTATATTGTTGCTATCTATTTACATAACTATTTCTGATATACGTACCAAGTTTAATAGCTTTAATTCAGTTTATTGTTAGTAATTTTACGTTAGAAGTTCTTATAGTGCAATAAAAATCAAGAGTGGCATATATAATGGTATGCTACCATATTTTAAATATAAAAGATAAGTAGATAATATTTTGGTAGATTATCCATTAATATTAAAACATTTATTCCAGCAATAGTAAGGACATGACAAGCATCAAAGTTTTCGATATATTAATTTCAGTCGATTCTATGTTTGCTTTCAGAATTATGGTTTATACAAGTTTGAATAAGCTTCTTAATGGGACATTCAGTAATCTACCTAAGTTAAAAGATTTGTACGTTTCAAATTAACGGCGACTGCGTAATGAATATCTAAAATTTACTTAAAAGGAAAAGAGCTAATTTTTTACCTTAACATTCTGAAGTATAAAGTTGCTCATAAGTCAAAATTTTCTTGTAGTACAGCTGTTAAATTTATTATTCGCAACATTAAATTATCTTATATTACGCCTATTACATTATCAAAAAAGATTTTATTTGTAAGTTTAATCTTACAGCTAGATGTTCACAGTCTTATCATTAGCAATTTGCAAATATTATAATTCAGATAAACAATAATTGAAAATCATTAAGCTAGCCTAAGAAATTAGTCAGAGGAGGGTTTCTTGCAGATTTTTAGTAATGGTACAAGTAATACAACTTATTTTGATTTTCTGTAGGGTTTGAAATAGACGAGATAATTATTACACATAAATATAATTTTAGGGAGTCGATATAAGTTTGCGTTCTATTAACAAATATAATAATATTTTCATAGAAATCTGCATATGAATAATATTGAAAAAGTCGAAGAAGGAGTATTTGCTGGTTCTAATAACATCAAGACGATGTAGGAATTATATTTATATTTTAATATTTATAAATATAACTTAATTTTAAATCTAGACTGCTTTTCATATTTTGATCTAAGATCTTAAAATTTTTAAATATCTCATATGATTAAAAGCTATTTAAATAGCAACAGCATTCGCGTTATTCCAAAATTACTCTTCGAAAATCTATCTATATTACGGGAGATGTAAGCTTAACACATTTCTATTGATTACTAATCTTAAAATATTATTTACTGTGATAATTTCATAGCCAATCCACGGATATTTTTAATTTATATCAATAGAGATCTATCTAATAATCGAATTGAAAGAATTGCAGATAGAGCTTTTAGTGATTTACATAGCTTAACAAAGCTGTAGGTCAAGTATTAATGACTGTAATGAATTTACTTCAATATATTTATGTAACCTTAATCATTCTGTAGTAGTACAGAAATCTAATAAGAGGTTCATGCGCTCATGCTAATTACTGTCCATAAGAGAATGGGTCTAATGGAGATGATTAGCGAGTTTTAAAATGTGCAAGCTGGATTAAATTCTTTTTCCATTTTCATTAAGGTACCTGCAAAGAAATATGATTGGAGAAATCACATCGGAAATGTTTCAAGGCCTATCAAGTCTTCAATTACTGTAAACTCTATGTTTAATCTATAAAATAGTTGTTGATTATAGTTTGTTTATTTTTACTTACTTGCAAGTGAATTGTTATATTTTATTGTCTTGTGCTATTACTAAATATTCTGTAAATCCTTCATTACATAATATTGTAATCAAAATAATTTTATAAGTACAGAGGAAGAACTTTGATCATTATGGAGTTCAATTTCTTACACTAATGTTATTTGACGAAAATTTATATCTTCTCCAGTAAACTATCATCGAATCAGATAACTAAATTAAGCAGCTACGGCTTATCCACGTTAGTCTCGGTTGTATCTCTGTAAGTTTTATTATGATACATTAACATAGTCAAGCTAAGGTGAAGCTTGGAATTTTCCTATGATAAAGCTTATACTTGGTTAACCTATTAGAGAGCTTTCAAGTAATGTTATCCAAAATATTGAGAGTGATACATTTGCTGGGCTTATCAAACTTAAAAATTTGTGAGTATTAGCTATAAATGGGATTACATGCATTACTGTATATATTATAATTCTATTATTACTGAGTAAGATTAAATCAGGTAACATTTCATAGGCACAGTGTGCTAATGATATTAGTGATCAAATTGTTTTAGTTCATATTTCAGAATGCTTTAATTATCCATAATCATTGCCTACTTAGGGTATTATCGAGTAACAATATCCATCGGGTGAAGAAACATGCTTTCTCTAATCTACCCGAACTGGAATCATTGTATGTAGAATATTGGTAACAAATAAATAGAGTATCAGCTAATGCATCATACCATAAAGTTTTATAAATTGACTATAATTAATTTAGGAATCTGGATCACAATCTTATCCATTTAATAGAAGCGTGTGCTTTTAATAGATTGAAGAAATTAAGAATATTGTAAGTATTGTACAAACTTATAGAATTGTACAATTGTACAAGCCTTCACGCGATATTCTACATTAATTTGGATGACGAGCCGAAAATAGATACAATAATTACTTGACACTATTGCAGGCAACTGAACGGAAATAATTTACCATTTATCAATGATGGAATGTTTCATCGATTACACAATTTGCAAGCTTTGTAAGAATATTTTCCATCAATATTCTTGATCAATACTGCGTTTGTACTTTTAAGTAAAGCTTAGATTCAATTTCCTTCTCTATAAAAGATTAAATGATAAGTAATCGTACGATACTTAAACTTACTTTCTTAGGGAATTATCCAGCAATCAAATTGACCATCTGGAAATTAGTGATATGCAATCGCTACCCAGCTTAACTGCATTGTAATTGATGATAAAATAATTAATTAATAAATATGCTTCAGTATTTGTGGCTTATAAAATTTACTTTGAAATAAAACAGCCAAAACTAAAAGTTGCCATAGTACCATATTCGTAAAAATATTTTATAATTTGTATTAACGAATACGTACATTGATGATATACAGAAATTTAGCAAATAATTTACTCAGTAATATTTCTTCCGCGAGCATGAAAGGATTATCTCATTTGAAAACTTTGTAAGTTATTCAGAATTATTTGAAAGTATTTATTTTCATGAAATAAGGGGATAAACAAATATACGATATTAAGCAGTAATTTTACATACTATTTTCGTAGATGGCTTGATGAAAACAGATTTTCTTCTCTAAAATTTGCCGATGAAATTAAGCTGCTGAATCTTACCCATCTGTAAGTGCGAAAATCAGTACGTACTTAGAAACGTTAAGAACTCTAGTATATATGTTATATATTTGAGTGGATAAAGGAATATAAATTATAATTTTTGATTCGCTGTTTTGTAAGAAGATTAAAATCATCACCATTTTGTTTACAGATATCTAAGAAATAATCAGATTTTGTTGTCAAAACACATACTCCTAAAAGGCTTACCTCAATTGGAGACATTGTAAGTTGTTTAAAAGATGATGGATATATAACTGATAAAAAATAATTGCAATATATTTTCAAGTGTAAATATCTATAATTGCATAATGCGTACTAAATGAATCTTAGTGTCTTACTTATTTGATGTTAATAGATAATAAATAAGTATAATTCAAATATTATCTACAATATACCGGGTGCAGTTTATATTTATCATCTTTAATAGTATAGAGGGTAAAAATTAAGATTAAATGCTTATAAAAATGTTATGTCCCTTAGAGCTCTGGATGGAAATTTTATTACACACTACGAAAATCTCTTATTGGGTGAAAATGCTAATGTCAGCTATTTGTAAGATTATAAATCATTCTTTATCTTCTTCAATTGATGACATATTATTACTAGTAAATCTGTTTCAATAGCTGTGACTGCCATTTTCAATATCAATTTTGAAATGCACATTGCCTTAGTTCATATTATTAGAGTATACAGCTACTGCTATTAGCTAGAATCGCTACACTGCAATAGTTTATTTAATTTGTTTTAGATTTATTAATAAATAATATTGTTATATGTACGCGTATCATCGAAAATTTGAAAAAACCTATTTTTGATCCAATTTGTAATCATTGTGTCTATAGGGGCTTCTCTAGAAATAAAATTAAAACAATTTGGCACCGGCCAAATGAAAAAATTAATTGTACATACCTGTAAGCTATTATAAAATCCTATAGTTGGCTTATAATAGATAATAATAAATAATAGCAAAATCACTTAAAAATGTACGTCAAATTTAAACCATGTTTTACAATCTCTACGGATATATTAGTGATTAAATTGGCAATCTTACACTCAATATTTCAATGTCTTACACTAATTTATTTCCATTCTAGAGATTTATCTCATAATATGTTAGAGGTTATACCCTATTTTGAAACAAAGGATTATGTTCAAGTTTTGTAAGTGGTTAGAATTGTAAAGGGTATTTTATAGGCATTATATTTGAATATGATTTTACCTTAAATGAAATTGATTTATGCTTGCTTATATCTTATTTATTTTTAAACATTTAAATTATGGACTAGAAATTTGTCCTATAATGCCATTTATGATCTAAGTGCGACTGATTCATCTAAATCAATAACTTTTGAAGCGATGTAAGTTTGGAAAATGTTAAAACTATTTACCAATTAATTATCGCTGTACATTGTAATAAATTCAATTTTTATTTTATTTGCATCTCAGCGATCTAAGCGGAAACTTAATAAAAAGTATCCCTCTTAAATTCTTTTCACGAATGCCATTTCATGAGAGCTTGAAAGAAATGTATTTGATTAATTAAATAATATTTTTTTAACAGTTTGCAATAATTACCGTCATCTTATTGATTGTTTTTGTATTATTAATCATTATCTCAATTTGCTAATACTTTACGCATTTTAATTTTAGATATTTATCCAGAAATCGTTTAAGCAATCTCGAAGAAACTTGTTTTATTTCATTATTGCAACTGGAAAAACTGTAAGGATGAAAGTTTAAATTTTAGTAGCTTTTAAATCCATCGAAATGTATCTTACAAGATATTTATTCGGGATATTTTCATGGCCTACCGCATAAAGATTTATGCGGTATATTGAGTTTATAACTGATAGTACCAAAATGGTAAAAAAACTTAAACTTAAATTATATTTATGGTCGTTTATACGGCTAGTCAAAAAATATATAAAATTTTAAAGTATTGACTTCAAGTTCAAATTTAATTGAAAAACGAAATTATTTCCATATTATCTGGCCAAATCAAAAATGATTGTAGCTATAATCTTCATATATCATTAATATATAACTATTTTACGTCGATATTTCGTTTTTAGAGACCTAAGCACGAACTACCTGTCAGAAATGAACTTTTTAAGGCATCTACGCGAGCTGAGATATTTGTACGGTTACGCAATGATTGTAGCTAAGTACAACAGACATTTGTTACAGCTTGATATAATGTTTATATACCTCAAACTATTTACTAGTATTATAAGTAATTCTATCGAAAAATTAGTACTTAAGCAAAGTTTACCTGTGTGATGGAGGGTTCAATATCTCAGAGGATTGAGATTTAGTCGCCATTTACAATTATTACAACAAAGGGTTCATAAAAGTTATGCTTTATTGTAGGTTAGTAATGTGAAGTACAGTGAGGTAGTTACGGTAGATCAGCGTGCAAGCTGTCGTGAGTAACGAGTAGAAGTATTAGACTGTGAGAGACTAACTAGAAGACTAACTGAGAGGCTAATGATCTCTGAGGTAGAAATCGCCGGTATTTATAGTTTTAAAGATAGAGCACATGCAGAGGATAGGATTGTGGAATTAGATACAACATATACCATAACAGGTTACAAAATAGCAGATGATTGTAGAAAACAGCGAGTACCTTAATAACTAAATACAGTAGTCTATATATGAATGTAGAGTAAGCGGACTGTAGATCTGTCTAAATATAAGAGCAATACAACATGTCTATATTTAAGAGTAGAATATAGTTACAGTATATTCTAAATACACTCAACCTGATATTCTATAACAATGTAATATATATTATATACCCCAAATTATTTGCTATTATTATACCATGATATCAAAAAATTAGTATCTAAGCACAGATACTTGATAATTCTGCAACATTATAATATACATACTCTAGACTATTTACTATTATTATCAAAAATTATATCAAAAAACTAACAATTTAGCTACTTGATATTTCTACAACAATTTACTTTCTGTCTGTAGGAGTTTGGATAATAATTTTATTGCCAAAGTTAATAAGGATTGTATTAGAAATCTTACTTCATTGACAGAGCTGTAAGTATATGTGCGAGTATACGACATGTTAAGCACGAAAGTCTGATAGAATGTTAAAGGGAAGAGGGTGGAGATTTACTTTAAAATCTTCTTCGCACTGGATTCGATTTGCGCATTTGCTTTCTATTTTATCATCTGATTTAAATTTATATTTTAATACTAAGAATAAAGAGTATTTTCTAACTGAGAATTCTCTAACATGCAGACTCCGGTCTAAAACTGAAATAATTCTCTCCTACAGTTATATAGGCATGTTACCAATAATACTAATGCAATCCTTTTTTAATATTAACAGAAGATTAAGGCGAAATCTAATACGGCGATTAAAAACGGGCACTTTTAACTTTAACAATTCTATCCAATGTCTGTAAGCATATTATGTCATATATTAAAATCCAATGCTGTATCTTCAGTTCTATGCATGAGCAGCATCTAGAAGAATAAAATTTTTAATCATTTAATGTCAATTTTTAGCACTGGCTATCAATAAAATTGTTATTATTGTGACCGGTTTTATTTCTGTAGAGGGCACATGGGTGAACAAAAAGTATAATTCGATATGATTAAGGTAGTAAACGATTCTTGGTCTATATGTTTTTAGGGATTTCTCTTGGAATATGATTAAGTACATTGAAGAAGAAGCATTAATAGGCCTTGACAAACTCCAAATACTGTAAGATTAAAAATGATGAAAGCATTGATAAAAAATGTACAGTAGTAACAGTAATAATAAATTTGGTTAAGGATTTGATACCTTACATATATTATGTAATTTTCGTTAAGGTAGTGGGTTAAATGGATAGTACGGTTAAGTTTTACTCCATAGCAATAAGATACAATATCCTATCATTAGATGTGGGATATTATAATTTAAAAAATTTAACCCTATTTTCCATAGGCGACTTGATCATAACCGGATTATAACTCCTACTAATCTTCTTACCAGATCTTTACAAAAATTGGAAATATTGTTAGTAAATTATTAATGTTTTTGTTATCCCAGAATCGATAAAATTAACATAATTTTGTTTATAGGTACCTACGCGATAATCAAATAGAACATTTGCGAGAAGATGTCTTCAGCAATTTGATCTCAATTAAGGAAATGTAAGCGTTACTTGGATGAAACATCTCATTAATGTCTTTCTGGTTTGTAACTAAATAAAATTCTAATAAAACAACTTCCTTATTAGTTATCTTGACGGCAATAAAATGGACAGTTTGATCGATGTAACTTTCACCCGATTAGCTCGTTTAACGATTTTGTAAGTATAACAGATGGTGGTGAGCAGAAGCTGATCAGAGTAATTATAGATCGAAGAAACGATATATCTGTATTTTTAAAGTTGCTAGGCTAGCTAATATAAATAGCTATTAATCTATGGGATTGAATTTACATTTAATGGCGTATCAATGTAAATATCTTTGATTTATAAAGCAATATCTTTTATTATATTTTTAATTAAGCTCTGCAAGCAGGAATAAAATTAAAGAATTCGTTTGCCATCGATTCTACAGTGGCATCAGGGGAAGAGTGATTAAGCAATTGTAATTTAACATTTTTCTGCTGGAAATAACCTTGGCTTTTCTTTTCGGCAATATGATGTAGATTATGATAATATCCATTTCTCTTTTAGGTTCTTACAGCATAATAATATTTCCTTTATTTCCAAACGATGCTTCACATTTTTGGCTTTAATTTCTGAAATTTTGTAAGCTATAAGTTTAGCTAATTCATTAATTGTTCATCTGACATAAGCTATTTGAAGTCAAGAAGTTATGGATTGTCAAAGAAATAAATTTTAAATAGTATAACTTGAAAACCTCATATTTGAATAGGGACATCGGATTTAATGATTTTGCTAATAATATTCCGGATTTGATGGATAAACTACTCCATACAGATTTAAGAGTTACGAGGCTGTAAGTAAATAAGAAGGTACACATTGCTGCAAATGATAGTGAAATAGCTATTAGCCTTGGATTGCATAATTGCAGCTTAATATAAGCAATCTTAAATCTCTAGTTAATTCTCGGTCTAAATAGGTTAAGTAAAATTATAATCTTATGACCGTACACTGATATAATTAAGAATCGACGCAAATACTTTTGAAGCTCCTGCTCTAATGAATACTTGGGAAAAAATGATGATACTATACTAAGTATAGGTTGTTTAAATGCAGAATGTTATAATTTGTACGCGCATGTAACGAGTTTAATGATGAATGATTACTTTTGATAATATATCTTAATTTTAAAATATATCAATATTATTTTATTAATAGAGGAATTAGTGGAAATGGTCTTAAAACGTTATGGAATAGCTTTAATATAGGTCTGGTAAGGAAAGAAATTGGATTGTAAGTTAATCATAAAGAATTTATTCCTCTCATCAACTGTAGCACTTATTTTCGGTAAAATAAGCTTTCTCAATGACTTTACTTATTCTGTATTGATATACAGAGATATCAGTTACAACAATTTACCAGCGATTGAAATTCTCAAGATCATCAACCACATCCATCCTCCATATATCTGTGATCACTACAAGCGGGCTGATCGACTTCATCATAATATTTTCGTCAAAAGCTGTTGGTTGATGTACTTGTTAGTAGGCTTAGTTGTGCATTTAATATATAGATTATACAGAGCGTATATATCAAGCCGCTAAACTATATTTAATCTATCGTCAGTTCTACTATAAAAAAATTCTAGATTGATTAAGTTACATAATTTTAACTTCTGCAGAGGTTTAAGCGGTTTACAACTAAAGCGCTTACCGTCTCCAAATTTACGACACCTGGAAGGTTATATAGCGGTTCTGTAAGTATAACATTGTTCATTAAGTTAATAGGAATAACTTTGCTTATGCTTAGAGTATACTATGCAGATATTAAGGAGAGGAGTAGCTAGCTGATTTTAATCTGCAATAGAAAAGAATCTTAGTTATTGATTCAGCAAAAATCGAATTTGTTTATCAGTACTAATCAAATTTTAAATCTGAGAATAATTAAATTAAGCAAAGCATGGAAAATTCGTATCACAAATTTGATCGGATAATTGTTATGCTTACCGAGAGTTTATGACTACATAAATTCAAAATTGATCGGTAAACGTGAGTAAAAAGGTTGTAGCTGGGTATTGCTATGAAGTAGTCATAATGATTTGTGATATAATCAGAAATGAACATTTCGAGTTAAAAGGAACAACGATACCAATAATATTTATTTATATCATCTGAAGAATTATAAACGAATGTACTGTATATAGAGAAAAAGATCCAAGTTGCGGCGCAAATGGGTTAAAAACTGTAGCGTTTAACTCAGATCTATATTTCGATAGAGGGGAAGGATCTTTACGAATAGTCCATACCTTCTTACCTCGTATCAATTCCATTCTGACAGATGGTTAGCGACTTAATAGATATGAAGTCATAGTTGGAGCTCCTAAAATCTTTGAGCCTGAGTCTAGTTAAAATTCTAAATGAGCTAAGTTGAGAATGATGTGAATTAGCAGCTAGGGTACCTGTACCACGATAGAACTTTGTGCACTTTTCCTAGTGTATTCAATGGAGGACAATATTGAATGAGATCATGAATATTTGACTATTTACCATAATTGTACCTGGAATTACATGAATTGCGTACAGAGAAAAATATTTACATAAGAAGGCTCATTTAAATTTCCGTCCAGTTTCAACTTGGTAAATTTATCAAAATATTTTTCGTTTGCTTGATAGATGACCAAGAATTCCATGTGACATGCCATTAATAATTAATTAAAGATTCGAAATTTTTTTATTTTATTTGATATTATACAATTTAAAACAGAAGTATAAAGTTCCAACATTCACGTCTCTAAATTACTTATTGCTTAAGTTCGATTTTTAATTTACCTCGCATATAGTACTCTGAACAATAATTTTATCAAAGAATTTGACGTTGAAGATTTCTTTTCTGGAAGCGATAGTAATCTCCTAGAATTGTAAGTCATAGAAAATGCTTATAAGGTTAAATGATTAGGACTGGGAAGTAATCTTCATTTGAGTATAGTAGAAGAATACAATGATTTTTCATCTATATCGATTTATCAGGCTTTATCTCATATATACTATGTTACTATTTGTGCCACTATAAACATTCAGGCAGCTTGCTGGAAATAAACTTAAAAAGTTTACCAACCGGAAAAATTTTCGTTTTCTAAGCTTACTGTTATTGTAAGTAGCTATCACGCCTTATCGAAATAAAATGTTATTCTAATATATAAGAGTAGAACTCAAATTATTGATTTCCATATTTGCTATAATAATAGCCATCGATCTTAAAATTAAAAATAACAGTTATAATATGATATATCTTAGTATTGATATGATGCTAAGGTTTAGAAGTATAAGAGATTTGTAGAAAATATTGAAGCAGGAATTTATCTTAGCTTTTGATAATTGTCTTATGACAGGAGCTCAAGACAAACTGACTGTAGGCTATGTTGCCTAAGTCTATAAGGATTTTGTATTAATAGCAAAGTCAATTTAATTTTATTACTAGTTCTTAAAATTTAATTTTCCTGTTGATCGATTGGTTAATAGAATGTAGTTATAAACGAAGAACGTATAAAATTTGTTCGCATTGCTTAGCATCCTCTGAGAAGATTAAATTTATTCTTATTATCTGTACAACAACCTTATTAGTAGATGATTTAATCAAAATAAATTGTTTGTTTACCTAGAAATATATCCGATAATAGCATTACTAACTTCTGCGATAATGCTTGGCAAAAATTTGCGCCAAAACTACGGAATGTGTAAGTATCAAAATCTGACGGAGTAAAGTAATTCTATATACATGATAATAGATTGGAAAGCAATTGTTTTTAAGTCGTGTCCATAAAATTTCGATCGCCACTTATTGATAAATTTTAAGGGAAAGTTTTCTGCTAAAAGTAGTAATCAGTATCTGATTTTAGATGCACACGAATATATATATTTATCTGTTACGGGCAATGTATGAAATTATGAAATTTAACATGTATATCTTTTATGGAAATGCTGCTAATTTTGTATGTAGATATGCGGATAGATCCAATATCAAGAAACTGTCTTCACGATGTTTGCAAAGATTGTCCAATCTTCGATTCCTGTATGCTACATTATCTGTTTAAAATACTTTCCCATATTATATGATTGATAGTTTATGCCGTGTAAATTGATATTTGTTTATGTGTAGATCATTAAAGGCGAATCCACTACTAACAATATCTGAAAAATCGCTATATGGACCTCAACAACTATCTACTGTGTAAGACTATTTGAAAGAAAGGGTTAAAAATGTATCAGTCATTTAATAGATTTATTCCGTCATCGTCCTAATAGTAGTCTTACCGACATTTTTTAAGTATTTTGTAACCATAATAGATTATGTTTCGTTACGTTATATTAAAAGGAAATTGAATATGTATTAAAGTGATTTATAATCTTACAACTGATAGCTTAGGATTACTTAGATATTCCGCTATTTTGTTACGATTAGATCTAAAGCAATGCAGCAATATACTATACTTCCGGTGCTAAAAAATGAGCTTCTTGAATTACAATATCATACCGTATTTGTCTATCACATGCAATTAAGTTAAAAAGTACGATAGTTAATCATCTACTCCATGTTTGTTTTTTGGTTACAATTATTAATGCGTAAGAAGAACTCAGTAATTTTATCTTTCTATGTGGCAGTTTTACATCTCGAGATTATTTCTGTTGCTTGGTACCTGCAAAAGTTACTGCATGCGAGCCGATTATCGTAGAATCACTGACTTCGTGTCAAAATCTGCTATCTCATTTATCCTTAAGACTCTACATATGGATAATAGGTGGATTAGCGTTTATAGGAAATTTGTTGGTTTTACGTTTACATTGGATAAAACGGCACAGCAGTAGATCAAAAGGAACATCACAGCTTCTAATTATCAACCTAGCGGTATCGGACTTTCTAATGTCAATTTATTTACTAATAATTGCTATTAGTGATCAGATTCATGTGAATAATTATGGCGTCCGTGCTGAAAGTTGGCTAAGAAGTCCAATTTGTGCATTAGCATTTTTCTTGGGCAGCTTATCTAGCATCATGTCTGTTATCTCGATATTACTAATTAGTGTTGATTTATATTTTCGCTGTACAAACCCGTTTAATTATCAGAATAGAAATTGCAGATCAGAAAAATTCAAAGTTACTGTTATTATATTATGGTTAATTTGTATTATCTTTGTTGCAATACCAGCTGTAACTAGCACAAATGCCGCAGGTAATGATCGAATTTATAAATATAGTAGCATTTGTATGCCAAGTAATGTAGAAGATGCATTTTATCGAAGTTGGATCACAATTGCTACAGTCTGTATGGTTTGTATTTGGTTAACGACATGCATATTGTATGCACTAGTACTTTTGAAAGTTCACCAAAGTAGCCAATCTGTTCATAAGTCGGCCCAATTAGATCGAAAATTAGCAAGGAAATTGTTTTTAATTTTATTTACGGACTTAATATCATGGCTGCCTTATTATATACTTATTTTTAAAGTGATTTTGACCGGTAGGATCGATATTTTTACGTTAAAATTTGTTATTATACTCACATTACCTATGAATTCAGCTCTCAATCCGTACCTTTATAGTTTTACTTGTCCTACATCACCAGGTAGAGCTTTATTGTCTATCCGTAAGAGCTTTTCAGGGAGATTGCGGGATTATTACTCGGATCCATTGCGCCAAGTTAATCATTATTTCTTCAAGTGTAATGATAATAATGATCCTCAAAATAATTTAGAAGGACCTGATGTTAATATCACACTAAATAATACAGAGTGTTTACAAACTGTTGATAGAGAAGAAGTTGTTAAGCGGACTCTTCGAGAATCAAATGTGTAAATTCTGTATAAAGCTGTGATATACATTTTCTAGGATCAATTAGAAATAAATGTTGCCATTAGATTTCTGACAAGACTGTAAAGTGGCGTGATGCAATTCTGTATTCTTAATGGAAAAGATTATTCAAAATTAAGTGAAATCGTTATGTTACGAGCTAGGAATAGCCCTAACTTGCGACAAAGATTGAGAGAGTGATTTCTACCATTTACTACTGTTATTTGGAATACGAAATAATTGGTATTCCAAGGCAGATAGGGTTTAATACAGGGATACCTTCAAGACTTACTAGAAAATCACAATCTAATTTATTATCGGCGAACTCGCCGTTTATATAGATTTCGGACCTAAAACCAGTTTAGCTACACACGTCACCTCGTCTATTAGAAATTAACTAAATTAATACCCTAAAGAGATCCTATTAAATTTACTGTAACAATATTAAAATAATCTGAAGGGTCTAGTGCACAGTTGTGACTATAGTAACCTATACAATTTGTGGAAGGAGCAATTTACTAGTATACCCCACAAATGAGTGGGGATGGTATAAAAGACCGAGCGAATTGCCATTCGCTAGCAGTAGTCGCTCCGGGCTAGGACAAACTAGTAGAGACTAGAAATCAGAAGACTGGTGAATAAAAAGTGCTAGTGGTTTGAAAGAAACCTGAGTAGTTGTGTGACTGCGAGGAAAGAGTTAGTTTCCCCTTAGAAGAAGACTTCCAAGTTAGTGGAAGACATACACAATTACTATAGCACCTGACATAACCCAATCGCAAGTGAGATTTGTGACAATTCCTTAACGTACATATTACAAATTATTTTTCTTATTGTGGTTGATAAAGCGAGAATACAGATGATAGACGCCCTATCGAACATATTATAAAGTACTAGTACAAACTCCCGTCGCTTTGCTGACGGTTTACGATAATGTGCTCATTTAACAGATAGTATTACCATTTGATAGACGTGTCAGATAATCAAAGTCATTTAACAGTAGTATAAATACCCCCACGCTGCTCATTTCAAGGGTGGGTGAGCGGCATTTTGATCGTAGTTGATAATGTGCTTTTTTAGTGTACTGTCAGGTTATAATGAGCGGATATAGCATACTGGAACTGGTGAAATACTGCGCAATGATATGTGTGTACAAATTAGGAAATTATTGAAGTTGTATTACTCCACGATCATGTTCATCTTTGGTCAATTCATTAATCGTATTGTAAAAGTGGAGTAATACTACATTCATTTACGCTACCTAAGTTGTATCGCACGAAAATATCCCTTGATCGCCTCAGTCGGTCATTGAAATTTATATGAGTATACGTGCAATATTGTTGTTATTGCATCCAATTACGAAGAGATCTGTAAAGTATGGGATACGATTATAACTACGATACGTCTATACAGAAAGCATAAAATACAGTCTGTTTCTTCCGTCAATGCTTTATCAATTTTTAGTTTACGATACGCATAATTCACTTTACTGCACAATTGACTGATTTTACGTTAGTTATACTTTGGTGTCTTTTGTTGAACCAATTTAAAGGAGACATTACTCCATGAGCCATTTTTCTCTTGTTATCTTTAGTCCATTCATTAATGGAGTTCAGTATGGTAATAAAGTATTTCACTTTTACGCTATCGAAGTTGTGTCTGACAAAATATCGCCTCAGTCGGCCATCTCTACTTGTATACGTGTAATGTAATGTTGTTTGGTCTTCAAGAAAGCGATTCATATTTTATGTTGGTCATTGACTTTATTGATGATATATCACGACACGAGACACTGAGGGCAAAAATTGCCTTTTTACATACCGTTGGGAAAAGATATCAAGTCTATACGCGTACTACTAGTACGTCGATATAGAAAGTATACAGTAAAACATGTTTCTTCCATCAATGCTTTATCCAGAATGTTTTATCCATTTTAGTTTCCATACCGTTGGGGAAAGATATCAAATCTATACGCGTACTACTAGTACGTCGATATAGAAAGTATACAGTAAAACATATTTCTTCCGTCAATGCTATATCCAGAATGTTTTATCCATTTTAGTTTCCATACTGTTCGGAAAAGATATCAAGTCTATACGCGCACTACTAGTACGTCGACATAGAAAGCATACAGTAAAACATGTTTCTTCCGTCAATGCTTTATCCAAAATGTTGTATCAATTTTAGTTTAATGCACCCTTAATTCACTTTCACTGCACCGATTTACGCTAGTTCTATTTTGTTGAAATAATTGATTTATTGAACACAGACATCAACATAAATCTCCAATATCAGCATGATTGGATTGTCAGATTGAGCATGCTCATCCGTCAATGGGAGTAACATGGGGGTTGGCGTACAGTACAGTACAGTACAGTACAGTACACTACAATACAGTACATCATACTGTACATCATACTGTACAAGTGTACAGTAGTCGAACTGTGCTGTACAGTATACTGTACGGTACAGTACAGTATGCAGCAGTGTTAAGGTACAACACAGTAACTACAGTACTATACGTTAGTTAGAAACAGTCGTTATTAATATTAAGGGAAATTAATTAATAAAATAATTAATTAATCAGAATTGCTGCATGTGTCGTATGATGGTGGAAGAAGAAAGCTGCCCTTGTTGTTCCAGTCTTGATCGATGTGGGCACTAGATAGTGTAGTTGCAGAGATTTTATGCCAATCCAACCCTCTGTACTCGTTGTCGCTCCAATTTCAACCTCCAGTTTTCATCTAGTGATTAGTCAAATACTGTACGCTTGTTATTGAATTACTCATTTCTTCATTACTTCAAAGTCATGAAGGAATCATCTGATCATCAAGGCAATGGCGATCTGACGTCATTTTCATCGATTCCCCCAAGCCAGCGGATGATTTCTGCTTGTGCTGGAGCCTTTTTTGCATCGTTATTAAGTAAGTAACTGCCATTTGAAGAAGTAATAGAATTAATGATTGTCATCGCTTTTGATCCATCACCCTCTCAACGAGACATCGTTACAGTAGTCACTAGCGGCCATACTGAAAATTCACGCTCGATAAAAATATAGTTCATAAACATGCAAATAGCGTTATTTGTGACATATTCATTTCAATCGACGATCAAAGTCTTCATGGTAGAGATATCCAATGAATACGCTAATTTACAGTACATCTACATGTTATTTTGCTTTTCGAATTACTGTACAATCGCATTTTCCACTTTACATAAAAGTATAGTGTAGCATGCAATAATAGGAAAATTCCAGGCTATGTGCCGTTGCATTGGTAAAAAGTTATTACCATCGTTAGGCTTAATCAATTGCGGTCTACCATGGTCAAAACAAAGACTTATTACCCTAAATTTCTCTCTATATAGAATACCCATCAGCATGCATGATTGAAGAATAAACGATTACTTACTTACTCGACGATAGTACAGTACAGTATTGTTATAGTTGCCGTGCTGAAATAGTGCTTAAAATACTACTGTATGAATTGTAATCCAATTATATGATTGCATTGCATGTGCTTGTACTCTGTACAAATCCCTGGATCGCGAGAAGGCGTTTACCTTATTAGCGTAATTTTAATACTCTGAAATATCGGGCTTAGTAAATCAACAATATATCGGCCACGAAAGTCTCTTGTTGACGTATACTGTTTACGAGTAATAACAACTAGAAATGCAGCGGACGCGAAGAAATTCCGTCAATGTTGAGATGAATTAATTATCACCTATACAAAGCAGTGATTGTATATTTCTGATTTGTTGCATAAAAATAGTTACTCCATTTGATGTAGTCAAGACCAGGATTCAAGCAGATCAGAAATTGATTAAAAGTGGTAAATATGGATTATAAGCAACGCTATTGTTTGTAAATGATTTAAAATGATACTTGTTGTTGATATCTATACTACATTTATTGAATATTTTCATCTTAATGTTTGAAGACTTGTAAATAGTAAAAGCATGCATGTAGTATTTTCAAACGATTATTTGGACATATCAAAATTTAAATTTACAGTATTACACTAAACATGACCATGTTATATGATTTACCGTTTGGTTGTATTTCCTTTATGGATAAACATGAATAGAACTTTCATTTAGTTATTAGTCCTGTAGATAATGATTGTAGTATCTTGGAACAATTAATTAGACCGATCAATCTTTCGGATCTTTCTAGATGTTTGTTGCTTAGAGTCAATAGTACGACTTTAAACATGCAGTCCCTTTTAGTTCTTTCTAAATATCATAATACGTTGCAATTGTCGCTATACGTATCTGTCATAACGCTACAATTGCTTTTACTACGAGTAGATTTTAAGTAATTTCTACAAGTGTTAGTGGCTGGTATTCAATCATCGAGTGATCGCTGATAACATACTAAAGTAAATGAATTAAGATTCAAATATGTTCGTGTACGTTATACGAGTACAATCTATAGTAATCCTACTTGACATAATTCATTCGTACTCATGTACTTATATTCATTGCATAAGCTAGGTAGTTCTACTGTAATTTGCTCGGACTTTAAAATGAATCGAAGAGCTCCTATTAAAATACGTTTTTGTTATTCAAATGTTAAACAATTTGACTTTCTTAAACATATTCTTGTTTATTAGATTCGTATTTATATTGAGCTTTGCCTGGTAAAGCTTGTCATTGGGATGCTTATTTTGCTGTATTTTCTTATTGCATTAATTAGATAAAATTGTCTTTTTTCGAAATGGAGTCCTAAGTCAAGTTTGCCCAATATGTCCCGCTGGTCCCAGTCATTGCGAACATCAAGTCAACATTACCAGCCGAGCTACGGCTATGGTATGTAATTTTTATTAACGAATATTGACATTTAATTGAACATTGCGGCTCGATGCTAATTGATCGGTTATGGGGTCTCCCGTTAAACGGAATTCAAATTTAATGATAACAGTATATCTGTAAAATTGGATATTTTTCGGTGATAAATGTCAATTATCGTCGTAATGTTTCTACCTTTATTTCTTGAAAAATCTCAGGAAACTGCGTTCAATATTGCAAAAAGTGAAGGAACATTTGGTTTATGGAGAGGATTATCGCCAACTGTGTAAGATATCATTTTACTTTTCTTAAGACCTGTACTACAGGATTAATTCCTTTCTCTTGCTCACTTTTCTTGGCTGTATGAATGTTACACAAAAATCTTCTTACATCATAAATTTGTTAACACGAATTATGTATCATTGAAATGCTGATTATTTTGTTTCCCAAATTAGAATGATGGTGGTGCCTGCTACTGTCATCTACTATACTGGCTATGATTTCTTAAAGGATAGGCTATCTTTTCGTCTTGGTTCCTATAAAGATGTACTTGCACCAATGATTGCTGGAGTAACAGCGCGTAGTAAGTCGTTAATTTACGGAGTAATTACTGAATTAGTCATCTTTAAGTGATAATAACTTCAGAGATGTCCGATATTATATAATTTAATACTTTTAACTAGTTTTTCTTGAATTTAAATTTCTACTTTTGTATGGATTGTTGAACTTATCTAGAGATTTAAATGTTTATGTCATTACAGCTACGACAGTCTTAATGGTTTCGCCTATTGAATTAATGAGAACTAAGATCCAAGCCAAAGAAGGGTATAGTTATAGAGGCGAGTAAAATTACTGCTAACGTACTTATGCATCCCTATTATCATTGCAGTTAATCGAACGACCTCCAGTTCCTAAATTCTGTATACCTTGCTTTATTAGAAATGGCTAGCATTGTGAAAAATGCCGTCAAACAAAGTGGGGCATCGTCTCTTTGGCGAGGACTAGGGCCCACACTTCTGCGCGATGTACCTTTTTCTGGTGGGTGTTATAAGATTCATTTCCAAAATTTACTTTATATACAGTTATTCTTGTTTACGAATCTTAATTAGCTAATAGTGATTACCTTAATAACATAAACAATCCCGATTAATAGCATGTTATTGGGCTGGCTATGAATACTTTAAGCGTAAACTTTCACGGTCTGTGGGTGAGAAAAATCGAAACATCGCTACGTTTGCAGCCGGTGCTATTTCCGGATCGGTAAGCTATTCGTTCCCATAGTAGTGTAGGTAACTAGATTTTTAATGTAAAAGTATACCATGTATAAATCATTAATGCGATAAGATGTAAGCGTGTCTTAATCGCCAATAGAAATCTGTTATGGTAAAGTTCTACAATAAAGATGGTCTTTAATTATAATGATGCAATAGATTGTTGCTACTGCCACGACTCCCTTTGATGTCGTCAAGACTCGTTTACAGGTTGACATGGGAGAAAATTTTGCAGGTATAAATATTTGGCTTGATTGTGCTATACCTAGCTTTATATTGTTTTTGTGTACTAAAAAATGTAATTAATTTGGATTGATAATAGAAAAGCAAAAAATTCCGTCCACTTGGAGTGTTATCAGAGATATCTGGAAATTACATGGATGGAACGGTTTATTTGCAGGTGCATTAATGGAAAGATTGACAAGTATGATATTATGTGGTTGTAGGCATAAATGATTAAAATCAAGATAACTTTTTCTTCAGGTGTAACTGCTCGTGTCGCCAAGATTACGCCCGCATGTGCTATCATGATAGGTAGCTATGAATTTTGTAAAGACTTTTTTGTGAAAAGAAACCGTTCTCGATAATAGCAAGTTCTTCGAAGATCGTGTAGTATTTCCATTCTGATGGACTACATGAATTTATGATGTCAGTTGCACCTTGTGCGCAAATTTAACATTTCAGTTTAATTGATACAGCAAGATTGGTTCCAATACAATGTACGCGTAGGTATATTCCTCTTTTCATCATATTCTTGTTTATTTCACTTGGAAATGAGGATATTTATAGTCACGATAAAAGTATAAGCTATGAATTTAAAACGTTACAAATGATAGCTTGAAAGCATAAATAATTCCTACTGACCTAATTTCGCTTAAATTAATCACTAACTTTCACTTATTGCAACGACATATTTTTACGTAATGTATATGAATTTTGCCTTTCATATAATGTTTATATACGGGCATTTTATATTATTAACAACTTATACTGTTTAAAATATTTCAAATTAGTTATTACAATATTTGGAAAGTTGCTGTAACGATTTATATTTCCTTTATTGGATATCTGCTGTTCAATTATATTAGTTTGACATGCACAGATGTCGTACCTGTGTATCCATTTATGGGTTTTTATTAGCATGGCTAAAAATGCCCGAAATGAATGAATATATATGATGAAGTCACAACGATTTTAATGACTAGATTTAAACCTATTTTATGCAGTCTTATAGGAATAAATTAATACAAACATCAATTTGGAAACTCTCATGTTTTGCGCAATACATTTTGAGTTACCCATCGGTTAAATATAAACAAGATGTTACATCATGCTTTTAAAATAATCAGTGAACCATGTGCGATCATACAGTACAGTATAATTATTTGTATTTGATTTCGTTTGGAACGTAATCATACGAACAGTATTATCTCGACCACCTACATGGTACACTATACAGTACTCCACTAGATAGTACATACAGTAACAAGACAATCATTAATCAAATCAATTCTAGTACTAAGCTCCTTGCATGCTTGAGTCAAACCATACAGTCATAATATATCGTCAGCCGAACATTTGTAAAATCTGTCTATCTATCCCGCTGTTGCTGCTGCATGGTTGTAATCCTAGTTTGTCATACAACATCAACCGGAGTTCGGAGGAATATTTGACTCTGATGCAATACATTTAGCTACTAAGTATTTTGTCCTACCTATCATTATTACTTCGTGTTTTAGTAAAATATTTGATTCTGATGCAATACATTTAGCTACAAAGTATTTTGTCCTACCTATCATTATTACTTCGTGTTTTAGTAAAATATTTGATTCTGATGCAATACATTTAGCTACAAAGTATTTTGTCCTACCTATCATTATTACTTCGTGTTTTAGTAATATATTTGACTCTGATGCAATACATTTAGCTACAGAGTACTTTGTCCTACCTATCATTATTACTTCGTGCTTTAGTAAAATCCAGCAGTCTCTACATTTATGGCTTTTGCTTGAATTGATGAAAGAAAAAGTGTTGACAGTTTACAAATCAATCAGTTTACAAATCGAATTTTTCGATCAGTAGTATGGATACGAAAGGCAATCAAAATGTGGTACGAATTACTGCCGCTCAAAAATTAGCCTCATCATGCTTCGGCGCAATGGCCACGGCTGTTATAGGTACTGCTGATAATACTGTAATTATGTACTCATCAATCAGGATGAATTAATGCCAATTTCTGTTTGAAATGACTTACCTAGCTACGGTACTGTTGCTGCGAATTATAATACAGTATACGAGCATAATAATAATGATTTACAAAGTAAGCGGATATCGTGATGTTACGATCAATCATACTGTACTATACGTATTATTATCATTTTATTGTCATGATAAGAATATTGATGTAGATTTTTATGAGATAAAATATAACGAACGTCCTAGAATACTCGAAATTGATTAATTACGAAACAGATATCTTCTGTACTTGTAGATATCATATTCTGTGCAAGCACTAACTAACTCTGAGCTATATTTCTCATCATTTGATGATTATTGTTTGTTCAAGTTACACCTTTCGATGTCATCAAGACACGGATGCAGATCAAGCGGAATGCTCGTCTAGCTAAAGCTCCAATATCAGAATGTACTGTAATTAATTGCTAATTCTGATACCTGATTTAATTCCTGTATGCTGCAGGGCGTAATATTTGCAATTTCAGCTCAACACATTAGCATAATACAATTGAAAGATGTAGCGAGAATAGAGAATTGTGATTGATGCTTGTATAATATTATATGTTTACAGCTGTTCCATACGTGCTATGTAATGGCTTAATGGATCACAAATGCACTATGTGCCCAGAAACGATGATGAAGAATTGCAGGACTACAATGTGGGTAAGTTGATGATCGATCTTCTGGAGGCGATGTTTTAACCACAGCTGCAGTACGTGGTATATCGAATTGTACCTCTCCTATATGTAATTCCATCTCTTTTACCAATAATTGCACACCTGCATTCACATAAATATTATCACCATTGAACGTCATAACTAATCGTAATTTTTATATACTCGTTAATAATAGTGGTGGCGGACACACACTTTGTCATTACTCTTTCGTTAAACAACTAATTTGTAATTATGTTGTTATAGGGTACTTTCGTCAATATAATGAAAAATGAAGGACCATCAGCATTATATCGAGGATTACCGCCGACATTGTATGTAGTTAAAATCTCTATTTTTCGTTCATTGTCTAACTATTGTTGCTAGCTCATAAGAGTTTCGTATTGTTGCACTTTAGTTATTAAATTATTAATCGTAATATAAAGTTACATAGGTAATTCTATCTAAAGTTGAAATGATGTTATATCTAAGCCTGTTTAAGCTAATCGGCCAGTTCAGTTTCTTTAATATTGTTCTATACGATCCTACTATTCATACGAAGTACTGTGAATCGTTGCCAAACATTCTTATATTCGTAGCTTAATTCTGCGATATGGATAAAGCTATGTTAATCCCCAAAAAATTAACTGTAGGGCTCCTACCAAACGAAAATTTATTGTAACTTTCAAAAACTGCCATTGATAAAGTTATTAATGCTATTATTAATTATACTTCGTTGGTTGTAGAGTATGTTGGTGGTTTAGCACAGAAAATGATAGATAGCTGTTATACTTTCTCTTGTTTAGGATTATGGCAATTCCATCGACAATGATATTTTTTACTGCGTATGACATTTTGAAAGAGAAGTTGACTCCGCATCTTGGCAAACGACAGGATGTATTAGCTCCAATGCTTTCGGCGATGCTTGCTAGAGGTATATTTTACTACTGTTATGGCTTACTGTATTAATATAATGCCTAAAGTTTTTGATATAATCCGTCTTACAGTTACGGTTGTTACGGCAATTTCCCCTATGGAACTTGTCAGAACAAAGATGCAAGCTAGTAAGACAGCCGGATATGGAGGTGAGAATAGATAAAGTCTTGTTACTCTAATTAGCATACACATTATCTAGTTAAATTATCAGTAAATAGCGGCAAAAAATTTTGGAACTATTTGAGTTATTTGCGATAGTAATTTGCTGGCATTTATCCATAGAATTGGTTCGTATTGTTTATCAGGAAGCAAGAATAAGTGGTGTATCGACATTGTGGCGTGGCCTGGGGACAACCCTTATGCGTGATCTTCCCTTTTCTGGTAGATTTTGAATAGCGTTTTGTATCGAAAAAGATACCATTAATATTTCTGCAAATTCATTTCATTCACTTGTTTAATTATATTGCAAGCATTTTACTGGGCTGGGTACGAAAACTTCAAGAAAAGATTTAATACTTTAACAAATGGAAAGTATCCTAACATAAGTAATTTTTCCGCAGGTGCTACATCCGGCATGGTAAGGTTTCTTTTAGTTACTATTTACTAGACTAATTATGTAAGTGTTCTATCTGGATCACCTTAGTGACTCTTCCATTACAGATAGTAGCCGCAGCAACTACCCCTTTCGATGTAGTAAAGACTCATTTGCAAGTAGATATGGGTGAAACAAATAGTAAAAACGGTAGCTAATATATACACTTAAAAAATTGTATACGCAAATATGTATAATGATGTACATAAAATAAAATTTATACGCCTGCAAAGTTTGCTAGTTGTCATTAACCGATTAAACCCACACACAGATTAGTTGTAGTGGTCTTACTAAATGTATATTTTAATTGTGTATGCAGGAAGCCAAAAAGTACCTTCTATGTTTGCTATTATGAACAATATTCGACAGCAATATGGTGTTAGAGGACTATATACCGGTATGAAATTAGTTTATAAAGCATAAATAAGCGTATTTTAGCATTCAGCTTAATAATAGTCATATAATAAGGTATAGAACCCTGAAATTTATAGAATATCCATAAACAATATTTAACTACTTTGTAGGAGTTGCTGCTAGGGTTATTAAAGTTGCACCAGCAAGTGCAATTATGATTAGCACCTATGAATTCTGTAAAGATTATTTCGCTAACAAAAATCGTTTGACCTAAATTGGCTATGATGTATTTGGTATACCAGACGAAAGGAGTCACTTTCAAAAGTTAATGTTACAGGAGTTCTGACGAGACTATAAAAGGCTGATGCCTGAAGATTCCTTTTTAGTTCGTTAGTCGGTTAGATAGTCAACTAGTTTTCAATTGATATTTAATTGTGAAGACTATAATCTTGGGTGCCAAGATTCCTTCAGTAATAAATGATAGTAAATCTCTGACTATCTCGTCTACATCATCTGTGACGCTATAATTATACCATAGTATTCGGTTGTTGGAACTGAATTATTTGGTGATATAGCTAATCTCGCCTCTTTAAGTTAGTAAGTGGCGTTCTCCGCAAGGATTGGCGTGTGTAGACTACTTTGTCACTAGTGGTGTGTGACAGTTAAATGCAATCCTGTTTTCGAATGCTCAATTGATCATCTGTAAGAATACTATACGCATATATTATAAAGGTTTCTAAAATGATTACATATTTGAAATTGCAGTAATTACATTCAGTTTGGTGGTAACACTGCATGGTAACACTGATTTGACATACGTATATCCATCCATACTGTAGTTGATTGCTTTGAAGAATTACGTAAACCCTAATTTAAAATCCTAACTTATTTATAGGTATTGCTTAATTTTAGTTTAGTGCTATTTCGTCATATTGGCTGTCTATAGAGAAGCCACCGGATTGATAATTGATAGCAATTTACGTCATGTAGTTGTTTATTGAGGTTTTAAGTTAATGTTGGCTATAACAAAATTTATCAGCCAATGAAAACATTCCGGTAAATTAATTTACAAATAAACATTTAACAAATATCAACCAATATGAACAGCTATACACATATAAAATTTATACAGTACTATTTAAAATCTGTACAAACAGGTAATATCTACGATTTTTTGTTTTACTGAAATAAATAAATTTCTTGTGCTTAATAATCGATTAGACAATTTTTAAGTCTAGCAAGAAACAGGGTCAGTTCTGTACATGAATCGAAATAGCAAGTTACTGTAAAGCATTAAGGATGTGATATAGGTACACCAATGATAATTATTTACCTCATTCATAGTCAATACAATACTAGCCATATCTTATAGTCAGTTTCTATAGAAAACCGTTTGTGTGCCTATACAGACCATGAGGCCATAGAGTCAAGACTTTAGTCTCAACCAATCTTTATAAAGTGGCAAGGGTGATTTCAAGGCGATTGCGATTTATCGATTTCTTCTGCAGCAGCTAGTAATGATGCTATAGCATCGGATTGTTGTACAAGAGGCGCATAAGCCGCATAAGGTGTCGGTAAGGCAGCAGAGAACTTGGCAGGACTGTGACAAACGAATTCTATGCAATCCATTGGCCTACAGACTTCCTCTTCAGGTCCTGTTATTGAGATATGTTTAATTCATCTCAGCAAATGTGCATATCAGCCGTACACGTACTTAATTTAGCATGGCTGGTTTAAAGATAATGTGAGATTCTACGCCTACTTTATTTAAAAGCAGTTGATTTTTTATAACTGTCACTTTACCTAAGACGAAAATAGATGGATCGAAATGATCAGGACAAGGTTGAGTAGGGAGTAGCCAAGTTAATACGACACTTTTTTCACCATACTGATCTTGCATAAACCCACGAATCTGCGCAAAAAATATTCCACCTTGAATATCCACTAAAGACACGATATCACCGACTTGATACTTTATACCCTGAATAAAAACAGTATTGTATAGTCAGAATGTTATAATAGTTGTGTGGATAATAGAAATCCTTCATTTCTGTCAAAAACTACTGGAGCATTGGACGAATTATTTAGCAATGACATTTCTAAGTTCGTTAAATTTCATTAGGAATCGTATTTTAACTGCTTTTATTCTGCATCTACGATACTATAGCTACTTGTCTATTTAATTAAGGTCAGGTGTAGACTGTAGACCTTACCGAAACAGAGTATTGTAAAATACTGTACATAGCGTACCGTAAACGTTAGTAATTTGTGTTTTTGATCAAACAAAGCCATCTATGATTATCTTATTAAATTACTGTACGAATTGAAAAAAATTCCAATGTGAACTATTCGCATTTGTGTTAAAGTCACGGTTTAAATTAATTTAATTTTAACTTAAGCCTGCAAGATTTCCAAACCATGCGGTCGTACGCGTACTGTACAGTGTACAAAATAGCAATAAAGAGAATTGGCTGTAGTGAATTCTGATATACAACTACTGTATAATGATCGTATGAATGAAAGTCTCATGAATGTTAGCCATTGGCAATGGTTAATATACATAGACACGAATATAATTAAACCATGAGACTTATGAATTATGATATAGTAATCCTGAATGATAGCTGTACTTACCTGATAAAATATTCTACTGCAGGTTACGATTGATGCCACAGCTGAAGGAGCTTTAATCGGCTAATGATAAAAGGTCAATGTAGAGATATTAGCTATGGAGGTATAGTGTTTATAGTTCCAGTAGGTACTGTTAGGCATGAGTATAGTGTACAAAACTACATTGGAGGAAAATGCATTGAAATCAAGACCTCCATAATAAAAGGACATATGAATCAGTAGATCGAGCGTAAGGCAGGATTATGAGTAAATTACCTTTCTCTTTTTCAAACTTCGTCTACCCCTTTTGGATACGAGCGAGCTTTTCGCTTGTCCTTGCGAGCGTGTACGTCCACTGCTACCATTGCCTTTATCCCGGTGATTTCCCTTACTGCTACTGCTACTAGCCGTACTACTACTAGTATTCCTCTTCTGAGTTGAACTATCGTTGTTATCGGAGGAAGGTAGTAAATTTCGCTTAGTGTAACAAATTTGGCATACAATTTGATCGTTGGGCAGACGATGCCACATGGTGGTGGATGTCGCTTGGCACCAGACGCAAACGGGCGCACTTCCAGGTGGCATTTGGGATAATTTAGCAAGCTCTTTCTACAAACGATGATGTAAAGTATACAAGTAACCTTGAGCTCGATTCTATCTGAATAATCTGATGATGACCACTAGGCAGTAAACAAAGTTGGAGACAAGAGTTTTGATGATTTCGAGTATGGTTTTATTATGGAGAGATTGACTCAAGTTGAATGTCTTGACTACAGTACACAGTACGGAAAGACTTACACTTTGTACTGTACTACAGGACTGTACTGTACTGTACAACTGATCGTGCTGTGACGTTGCTTTTGCGAGCTGATCATACAGTATTATGACTTGATAAATACTGTAAGAAGAATGACTGAAAAGACAGTAATACTATTCACTTCTAAGGACATGGTCACAGGCACTATTGCACACTATTCAGTAGGACGTAGAACTGATGGTGCTGTGACATTACTTTTGCGAGCTGATCATAATATGGCTGGATAAATACTGTAAGAAGAATGACTGAAAATACAGTAATACTGTTCACTTCTAAGGACATGGTCACAGGCACTATTGCACACTATTCAGTAGGGTGTAGAACTGATGGTGCTGTGACATTACTTTTGCGAGCTGATCATAATATGACTGGATAAATACTGTAAGAAGAATGACTGAAAATACAGTCTACTGTAATACTGTTCACTTATATGGATGGACATGATCACAGGCACTGTTGCACACTATTCAGTAGAGCGTACAACTGATGGTGCTGTGACATTACTTTTGCGAGCTGATCATAATATGACTGGATAAATACTGTGACTGAAAATACAGTAATACTGTTCACTTCTATGGGCATCGTCACAGGCACTGTTGCACACTATTCAGTAGAGTGTAGAACTGATGGTGCTGTGACATTACTTTTGCGAGCTGATCATAACATGACTTGATAAATACTGTGACTGAAAATACAGTAATACTGTTCATTTCTATGGACATCGTCACATGCACTGTTGCACACTATTCAGTAGAGTGTAGAACTGATGGTGCTGTGACATTACTTTTGCGAGCTGATCATAATACGACTGGATAAATACTGTAAGAAGAATGACTGAAAATACAGTACTGAACGTACTACTGGCCGCGCTGTCATTGGACATCAAACAAAGAGAATCGTTATCATCAGTCAACGACTCGCTTCTAACTGACCCGCCCCGGTAGTTCATACTACTGTAAAGTATAAAAAGCCAGTCGGAGACACTTGCAAACCAATCGACTTTATCGCCGTGTGTGCAAGCTAGCAAAAGCGTTTGGCTTGTAGTCCTAATTGAGAAAGAAATTGGGTTACTACTGGTTACTAGGGAAGGAAGCAGCTTGATTGAAGAAATTATTCAAGATCATGAGAGCATTTTTAGCCATTTGCATCCTAATATGTGGATGCTATCTACTTCAGGTTAGTGTAATTCATGCAATTGACTATACAGTACTTTTGGCCAAGGCATTGATTGCAGTAGGGCACCAATGGATCACAACTGCTGTTATTGTTGTATGGCTGATACGTGCGCACTCAGGAAATGAGAGAACTTGTTCATCACTCTAGTCACATAGATTGTACAATTATTTCGAGTGCAAAGTAGATAGTAGATTGGATCATTCAATGGACAACTCTATTTTAGTATTACTTTCAAAGGCAGTCTGTGTTGCGATGAGTAAAATCCAAGCTTATCGAGGTGCAATGGTCCTTAGCTAGTCAACAATGTTGTCGTTAAGCTGACGTGGCGTTATTCAAATATGTACTTTACATTCATTAAGTTAATCCGCACACCTGCTTAACGTTCAATATCAAAGTATGGTCAAGTTTTACTCGATCAGTTTTCGAATCGACATCGGAAATGGCTATAGAGTAGATATGACATAAAATTAGAATCTAAAATAGATCCATGTTGAATTCTATCGACGGCTACAACTTGTGGCAAAAGATACCTTACATGAAAGATGTAATGAAAGGGGGAAAAAAATGATTTCGGGATGAGTGATTCTCGGCTCTTTCTCTCTCAATGCTATATAGACTAGTCTTGCAGCGAAAAAGAAAAAATCAGATAAAGGTCATGTTATTCAAATCGATAATGTGAAGGAATACAAGAAGCTACTGCGTACGCGTAAGAATATCTTGATAGCATTTTTCAAAACAGGTAAGAGATCGTGATAGGACAAGTAGGTCATCACAAGAGGGATAGCACTTTTTCTTTTCAATGAACATCAATCATAGACTACTAGAAAGGAATCTATATAGAAAAGAACTCTTTCTAATAGCTACTTCATGCTTGAATCTATTTTGAAGTCATAAGGAGTATTTAAACACAACATTTTCAGTTATTGCTGTTATCCATGCCGGTGGTGGATAATATGATTTCAACTTGAATAATACAAGTTCTTACTAATGAGTATTAATGCGGTATAGTTTAAAGTAGCAACTACCAACTTAATATGGCTATATCGTATGAGTTGATTAATTGATAAATAAACATTTAGAAAGCGGCATAGAGTACTCACTACACTAATTGCATGATATTGCAATATATTATGCAGTTAGTTGACTTAATTCACTAACAATAAGAATAGCTAAAGTCCTTATTATAATGCCTACACAGAAGAGCATTATACAGGCACTAATCGCTTGCTAACACAATAGCCGCAATTTACAATGAATCTCTTTCGTCATTTCCCTAGTAATCATGGAATGTATCCATTCTACTGCTATAATAATTGGATATTTTACTGCTTAACAGGACTAAGTGAAGATACTTTTGATTTTCTCTCAATGTATGATAGTCTACGTTGAGCTTTTTTCACTTCAGCAACACAATTTCAAGCTAGTTTTTATGATACATTATCATAAGCCAAGGGTTCAGGAACTAGTTCAAGGTACAATACTACAACTGACGTTCGATAGTAATCGGACATCTGTGATGATATATCTATCATAAATAAGATCCGGCTATTGTTGCTCAAAAGTAATTCAGCACAATGCTTTCGACATGCTTCGACTTTGGACTATTTTAACTTTCATCACACCGATTATATTTCCATCTTCATCGATTGAACTAGAATACAATTGCTAGTAGGTGTATCTCAAAACATGCTTCTCGGATCATGAATGAGTTATACGCTATTAACTTCGGCAATTTCAATGACTGCGGATTAAAAACAATAATATTGGAAGATCTGTTATAGAATTAAATGTGAAATGATAAATAGGGGAAAGTATAAGATGTAGCCTTCTATAATATCTTTTCCTTTCCAATTTTTTGAACACTGTAATTCTACTTTCTCATAAATAATGAAAATTTTTTCCAAAGATTAAATCTCGCACAATGAATGCCATTGAATAATGATTAATGCTTTTATGCTAATGCACAACAAGAACAGCTATTGAAAGCTTAAATATTTGAAAATGGCAAAATTTTGCTGATAAACTCTCTTGAAATAGGGTAGTTTTAAACAAATAGCACTCTTACAGTAGGATAACCATGAACATTTCCTAAAGTGAATTCGTACTTACATGTTCTATTTATATCGGGATACAATAATCATCTAGACCTTTAGCGACTCTCATGTCAAGATAACAATTTTCTCGGCTGCATTTTGATCTTGCATTATCCTTCTTGATTAAGCATTTACCTATGTAATATAGCAAACTTTTGACGATAAAGTTCCAAAGATATTAAAAATTAAGAACAAAGTGATAACTACAAGTTGATCAATATATATTTCTCATGTTTATTCTGTAATTTTTGCATGAAAATTAACAATTTTGAATTAGGTCAGTGATAATGCGGTAGATGTGCATTCTATTTTAACGTACGTAATTAAAAGATGGGTTCATATTCTACAGAAATATAAAATTTCTTTAGCACTTGTAGATTTATAACACAACTAATCTAAATCGATGAAATCCTTGTCACTCTAGGTGGAGATATTGGTAAAAAATTAGATACACTAATACGAGCTGCAAATCAGGTCTATGGTATTGGAACGCTTTCATATGTTGACTGCGGGTATACAAATCACGGATTAATCAATCATAATTTTCATACATTCTATAATAGTTATTGGTTAATTTTATTTTATCTCTTAAATTTTGGATTGATATTAAGTTATCTACTTATTGAATGCTATCGCGTTAATAGTTGATATTCGATGGTGTAGATAAGACATTGCTTTTTATTTATAAGTAGGAAATAAATATTTAAAATTAACTTACACCATCATAAAGTTTTATAGCATGCAATGTAATATATTCATTTGTAGATCGGATAAGAAGTTATGTAAAAAATTAAAAATTAAATTCAAAAAGGACGATTTAATTATCAACCATTATGAGTAAGTTGGCTACTTTCAGATTGTTGTATGTGATTTGATAATAACTTTCTGTGACTAGCCATAATTTTCTCATTTGGGATTACTAATATAATCTATGACTTAATTCATTAGAAACGGCAAATGGCATAAAGAATATGATAGAGCGTTCGTTGTGCGGGTATTCTGAGATTATGCAATTTTTACTTGTCAAGATAAATTACTGTTTTTTTCAACTGTTTAAGTCAGACATTTTTAAAGCTAAATACTAATTTAGCATTCTATTAATAGTCATTAGTTAATTTTATGAATGATCCACATCACGACGCTCCTTGGGAAGAAGATCCAACTGCAAAAGATGTCCTTCATTTATCTAGTGAAAAGGTAATAGGCAAGACAGCGTGACACCGGTAGTAGTGATTAGTGAAATTTGATTTGTTCTGCACTGACTTTACTTTTACTGCATTCGTTTGTCTTAAATGCATATATATAAACACTATAATCACGGTATATTTAATACCAGTGCTTGCTTATCATATTATTTTTCTATACTTTTAGAGCTTACAAAATGTATTAAGTACAAAAAAGAAGCCGGTGATGGTCATGTTTTATGCTCCGTGTAAGCTTTCTTATTGTTTAGAAGTGGTCTGGCTTATACATAGATCAAATTATGATTTTAAAGATGCACAGCCTGTTATTGTATCATATACTGTACAAGGCATTATAACTTTACAAGCTCAATTTACAGATAGTTACAGTAAATACCGTAAAAATTATGTAAAATAATTTTATCTTAGGGTGCCGCTATTGTAAGATGTTCAAACCTCGTTTTGCCGAGGTTGCGAAGACATTGAAGCATGATGCAGTAAGTTTTTGATATACTTTAGTAATCCTCAATTTTACTGAAAAAGATGCTAAGCAATATCGAAATGAAAATCGCTACAACGTTTACGTATGAACCCCCTTCTAGATAATGGCAGGAATTGACAGTGATTCTCCCGCTAATTATGGCTTGATTAGTAGATTTAATATTGTCAGTTACCCAACCCTTATCTACTTCAAGTAAGCTGTATTTTATTTCTTAATTTTCAAATCTCATTTAGTACCCTGAATTAGGAGTTAATCGAATAGTATCATTTATTAACAGAGATGGTAAAGAATTATATAGATATAATATCACTTCAGATAAGGACCAAGCCAGAAATTTATACGAATGGATGCTCAAGTATATTTCAAATACTTTTCAATACTGCGGTTATAATGCTTTAGCTAAAAATCATAGTTATTAGTATACTAATTTAAAATTTGAATGTTTCTCTTATAATGTTATGCCTTGAAGTCCAAAATTGATTGAGCCTGAAAAGCCAGAGGAAGAAGAAAGCTGGAAGGATTCAAGTTTGGATGTCGTACATCTTGCTGACGACACATTCGAAGCTTTCATCACTAACCATTCATCGGTTCTGGTTATGTTTTATTCTAAATGTTAGCTCTAACAATTAAAAATTAGTCCGTTCTTATCAAATAGTAACTGTAAAAAGAATAAAATCGCTCTTCTTTTAGCCTGTTATTATTGCAAAAAGATGAAACCTGACTACATCGAAGCCGCCGCCAGACTCAAAAAAGAAAATGTATATTGAATTTTTAGTAAAACTATAAATAAATTAATTTTTTCAAGTCATCAATTGTAATAAGAGAACTAGTAGTTGCTTCTTGCCTATTAATCTTAAGACATTATTGAATTAGGTGGACGGTACTTTGGTAGCTGTCGATGCCAACGAGAATAATGCGTTGTCTGAAAAATATTCAATAAAAGGATTTCCAACAGGTTCTATTTAATGTTGTTGCAGTAATCGATGTTATTATTTAATTCCCTTAGCTGATGATGTTATTTGTGATTAAATTTATTTTCCGATCTGGCAACCACTTAATTCAAATAATACCATAGTTAAATATTTCAAGTGAGTTTCTATTATTAATTGAACTGCAGTTAATTTCTACATGTTTTAGATTATAACATTTGATTAATAATTTGGTGACCTACTTGTATATCTTGATTTGTGTAGCGATGGTGAATATAAATACAATGTTGATTATCGTACAGCTGATGAGATTGTCGAATTTATGAAAGAGTAAGTAAAACCGCAAAATTCTATTTAACGCTATGCATCGAGACTATGATTGATTAAAAATTGTAATGTAGCCCTCAAGAGCCTATGCAAGTTGAACAGCTTGATCAAGAATGGAGCCTGTTCAATAAATTTATGGCTATGCTAAATGATGATGATTATAAAGATACGTTAAAGAAAATAAAGTATTCTTTGGTCATGTTTTATACTCCTGGTTAGAGAATAAGCATATTTTCTAAATTTTTTTTTTATTACCTGAGGTGTACTAATATCCACTCCATTTAGGATGTGAACAATCAAAAAAAGCAATTGGGGATTATCTAGCAGCTTCCATGACTGTCAGTGGACCTAAGGTAGCATTATCATTTGATTTCTAAGTAAGATTAGTATACTGTATGCAGAACGCGAATGTTCTTTGTCATTTTTTGTTATATAGGTAATAATTAAATCAGTCCAATTTTGTCTGGGAATGCTAATTTTGTACAATGTAATTATTGGTTATATAGTACAGATTATTTGCTGTTAATTGCAATGAAGCAGAAAAAATGTGTCAAGAATACAACATTCAAGGGTTAGAAATAATTTTAGTGTTTCATTTTCCCTAAAGAATACTTTTTGAACAGCTGAGAATTGTGTTGTTTACTATTTAGTTATCCGTCATTCTTATATTTTAAACATGGCAAAAAGCCTAAATCATACGAAGGCGATCAAACGGTGATGATAATAGATTATTTCCATCATGATATCATATTATGTTACGTGTATTATCGGATTTCAGTTCTTGTACATTAAAATTGTGATTATTAGAAATCTAAATTTAGTTGACTATGTCAATAGCGAACTGGCTTTGTTGGCTTAATGAAAAGTCTCGGTTATAAACCAGAAGAGCGTCCAAATGAAGTTAAAAGTAATGATGACCAGCAGACTGAATCTAACGAAGTGGAAAACAAGGCAGAGGTTTTGGAGGCAGGAACAGACGTCGCAGCTAGAAATGAGAAAGGTAATAACGTTGCATGAAAAAAATGGTTAAATAACAGCTCGAATGCCCATATCAATATCTGATTATAAAATTTTAGATGAGGATACACCCGCTAGTAAATCAGGATCTTCGTTATCTGACAATGCGGCTAGTTCATCCGATGAAAATAATGAACAAGGTTAGGCTACTACAGAGTACGCTTCCATATCTTATAATACTTAATTAATTGCTTTAAACTGTAGATAAAGATTTTAAAGAGGAGAAACTGAAGAATGAAGAAATAAACAAAATTAATGATGGTTCTGATATCAAATCGGGACAGGCGAAAACCGTCGTAAGTGCTGATCTACCGGTAGATGGAAGCCAAGTAAACAAGGATTCAAGTTTATCACCAAAAGACGATGAATCTAGACTAGACAACACGACTGATAAAGCAGAGGATAGAAAAGAAAAGGAACAACCAAATAGTGATGATAAAGAGAATGAAGATAGTATGAACGATGAAATAGATCATAAAGAAGAAGAAAAAACGGAAGCAAGCAATGATAATGGAAAGCAAAAAAAGCCAGCAATAACAATATTTGGCTATGAGCAGGAGTATTGGCTTCCTAAAATTTTTCACGATAAATTTGATTCCTTCATTAAAATGCATAACCGTTTACTAATCGTATTTCTATCCTCTTCTCCAGGTAATTCGAATAACTAGCTTAGTTTAATATTTTACAATGGAAAGTCAGGAATTTTAGCCATTTTTTAATTTTTAAATAAACGCTCTTCGTTAGAGGATCATATTAAAGGCGTCACTCTGGATTCTGTTGCTAGAAAAGTTAATAAATTCGCTATTGACAACAAGGTAATTCGAGGAATAATTTGCAACATATTTGCGCCAAATCTTGGTAGATTTATCTACTCATGTAACCTTCTATTGATAATATTTTATTACGCTATGTAGTTTTTGTCAAACCAGTAAATCAAATATCAACTTTGCGAGCAGAAATTTGAAACGTTAATATCTAATGCATTATCATTTCCCATACTTCATTTCTTGCAATAATTTCAAACGAGTGCTTATTGTCTAGATATCATGAATTGACTGATTAGGTATCTATGTCCGATTTTATATACAGAGACCTTATATGCTTGCAGTAGTAGACTGTGTTGATGATTATGATTTCTGCTTGCAAAAAGAGGTAGAAAAGCTTCCGACAGGTATGATTAATTCTGTGGTAAGACACATTGCTAACGTTAAAACTGTTTGTGCATCTGCTTGTTGTAGCTATGTATTGTTTTATTACGCAGAGGCACGATCATGTAACAGTGTATGGAGTCTATTATATATATTTTTATTGAAGTAAACGGCAATACCGTTAGATGCTGCCGTTTTATTATTGTTAAGGCTCTTCTGTAGCCTGCGATTATATTATATTAATTAAATTTATTGAATAAATTTCTATTTCTAGTAAACTAGTATCAGTATGAGCATTAAGCACTGATAGTATAGTATTACCTTACCTGCTTTAAAATCTAAACTAGATCGTTTTCTTTGATAATGGCGAAAGTTCTATCTTGATTTAATATTTATCTATTCTTTTCTTCTTCACAGCCATCTATTATCAGTAAGTGGTCATTTAAATTTCAAACATATCTCGCTGATTAAATTTTTGACCGTTCTGCGATTTGGAAAAGATTACTATCAAAATCATAGCTGCTCTGAATACTTAAGACTGGGAGATCATTGCATTATTACGCTTAACGTTGTAATATGTACCACTATAGTTTACGGTATCGTTTTATATTTAACAATATTTATAGTAATGGTAAACCAATTGTTCGATATACCGGAAAAAGAACACCTGAAGCTTTAGTCGATTTTCTGGAAAGGTTGGTAAAGATATGTATATGTGTGTTAATTTGCAATCTTTTATACAATGATTTTCCTGAAACTTCATCAATATACTTAATAGTCCACCAACAAAAAGTAAACCTCTTGGTGAACAAAAAGTATACAGAATGGATCGAGAAGAATTTCTAGATTACATGGATGACGTTAAGATTCGTGAATTAAATATGCCTAGTATTGATAAATTGGAAGAAATAGTAGATCTATCGAGAGCAGAATTACAAAGAATTATGCTCAAACATGATGAGTTATAATCTTATTGTTATGGGTAAAATTTAAGTAGAGGGCGTAGATACTTTTTCACGTAATAAAGCAGCAAGATGATAGATTATCTTAGTTTTAAAATTAATTACATTAATACGCGAAAAAGAGTTTTTATGAATCTGAACAACAATGCAGAAGTGAATGTGATATCTTGAATAACAAGAATTTAGCCATCTGTCGGATTTGCCTAGTTATAGATTTTAAAAATATGACGAGTATGTTAAATTCTTATCTATTTCTGGTCTAAGTTGTTACTTTATTTGATACTAAATCACAGTTGTTACTTGATTTAGAAGATGTAGTAGATTGGTTTTCTACGGTGCTTACCTTTACAGGCGCAATTATGAACAGCGGCTTGACTAAGATTTAATACGGTGCTTAGCAGACATTTTAGTAAAGTCACAGATATCAACTATTCCATTGTTTACGTGAATTGTTCGTATAGAATGATCAAACATTACGGAAGTAAATAAATAATGGTTATGATTTACACGATATTGATGCCTTATCTACTTACATCTATCAATTCATTCTACAGGCGTAGAAAATTAAACAATTATTGATTGTAGGCATCTATTCATTTTCATTTTTTGTGCAAAACGATAATACTTATACTCGGAGATTTATTTCCATAAAGCGCCCAAATTGTCATAAATGGCGATGTAATCTTACAATGACTTTGGCTTTCGTTAATAAACAGCATACTACGATATGTAGTAGAGCAAACTTATCCTTATGATATGGCGATAATGGATGATCCTGTTGAAAAGTGGTATAACCCCACATGTATTATAAATTTACTAGCTGATCTTAAAAATCTAACGGTCACAAAGATTTTTGTGACTGCGCAGCCTTATAGGTTACGGTTTAACCACGTTATTAAATTATTAAATGAATATGCTCTTGTCTATTAAATAGGTAATCTAGAAATAACTTTGAAATTGTTACGATGTATAGACTCTTAGCCGAGAACACATAACGTTATTTTTATGAATTTAATGAAAAGCAGAATGTAGCATAATGTACTGGTTTTAGTAACTAGTCTGTGAAACTAAGCTAAATCCACTATCCCCCTGGATCCTATAAAAAGGGACAAACTTAGCAGTGTCTGTATACGTGTTGCTTATGGAGCGTGATAGAACCAAACATCAATTCATAACCACCAATGCTCTAAACGTATATTCATTTATTCTTAAAGGCAAGAAAATAAAATTTCTTACCATTTTAGTTTTACATAATTACGATATAAAAAGTAGAATCATAACGTTTAGATTAACTAATAACAATAATGAATATTCGATGTACTCGTATAAATTCGATGAAGCAATTAATTTTGCAGTTGACTTATGTCGAGAATATTGTAAAATACCAGAATTTTCGATCGTGTAATCAAATGAATAATGTAGTAGATTAATCCGTAAAAGAGAAGCAAAGTAATATTTGTAAACTAGCCTTTCAATACACTGAAAGGTTCAACTACTAAAGGGATGAAATTTTAATCAGCCATCAAGGATATTGTCGATCAATACATATACATATAGAATTGACTCATTAATATTAGTAGCTATATGAATGAAACGTAGTCATTTTTAAGCGTTATGTCATGATTCCATAGCCTATTCGTCATTTTCCTCCTAAATGGTTTTAAAATCGATGATAAAAACAGTTTTATATTAATAGAATGGATATTCCAAAATGTATAACCAAATAATAATTAATACACCAACAATTATTTTCCATTTTGGAATCGATACTGAAGGGGTTAACAATAATAACTGTAACGATTTCTAGATTATAATTATATTTTATAAATCATCCTGGTATAAATGATATAGATTATTTAAGAATATACTGTATTTAAGCCATAATTAGGTCATAAAATGGAAAAACTTTGGAGCTGAGAGAAATACTATATGTTAGTGATCGAGCGCAGCCACAGTAGAAAGAATTTACAGCCCACCCTCTGACCTCCACTTCCAAACCCACGTCATGAATATGAATAAAAATTATTCCATTACTTTGCTTTAGCCAAGTTGAGTCTATACCGAACTATTTACCCCATTTATGGTACTATACCATCTGATTGTTACGTAATCCAACGTTACATAAAGTTGAATGTCGTTTATAATAATAAGAAACATAATTTTCATTTCCTTCAAGAGAATTGAAGACGTCGCATAACCATGTGAACCAGCTTACAATACAATACAGCAAGCGGATTGTTGAACTCTAGCTGGAGGAAGTTCGACTGGAGGAGGCGGCTGTGGTTGCGCTTGAACAACTTTAGTTTCTCGTGTCGTATCTTCTTTAGGCGATTGATAGGAATGATTATCATTAGCCTGTACAGGACGATCATCGGTTTTAGTTAGATCATCTGCTGGAACTGATTCAGGCGAAGGTTCAGGCTGATCTTTGGATTGAGAATCTGAATGATTATCGTCAGCTTTTACAGCATGATCATTGGTTTTAGCTTGATCATCTACTAGAACTGATTCTGGCAAAGTCTCTGGCTGATCTTTGGGTTGAGGATCTCCTTCGGCTAGTGATTGTTCGATTATTCCATTTGTACGTAGGGCTGATGGTGGAGGCGAAGATGTAGCTGGCAATCGAGAGACAGCCTGCGTATCTAATGTCGCAGTTTCGCCATCTCCTTCAGTACTTTCTCCTGCAACTGCGCTTTCACTCTTTTTAATTTTCTTAGGTGGTACCTCAACTTGCAAGTTAGCTGCAACAGCTGATGGATTCGTTGTGTTCAGCAAAGATTTCAATTGAGATAGCTGTCAAGCAAATAAATAATATTAGTCAAGTGAATAACAGAAATTTTTGAATACTGAGTGGTAAAAATGTGAAAACTGTTAACATTATAGCACACCATAACTGTATCTAGATCCATATCTGTTGCCATGCTTGTAAATTTTTTTAGTAGATCCTGAAAGGAAAATTAATATAGAAAGAATTCTTTAAGAGATTATGGCACAGTCGTACAGCGGTAAAGTATTTGAAGTAGTATGGATGGATTAAGCTATCTACGGGTAGAGCTGTAGCAATATTGCTTCATAAGAATATAAAACAGTTTAAATGGTGTACCATTTTATTTTCCAGCCTCTGTAATTTCTTTTTCATTGTGTTTTGCGCAAAAGTCATTTTAGCCATTCTAGCAAAGTTTTCCTAGAGGTAGCAGAATTAAGGGTTCATTTCTTGTAATTATAACCACTTTCTATCAAATACCATATGTCATAGCACAGACTATTCCATGTAAATAATGATTTATATCTCTACATAACGGATGATGATGCAGCTATGATTATCTTTCTAAATGCAAGATTATGCTCAAGATATTAATCTACACTTGCTGCTTATCAATTTGCATAGATCTGATCCTGTTTTTTTTTATTATACTGCACAAGTATAGAGCTTGCTACTGTTGAGTAGTTAGCGATATCTGGATATTGGCGCGATAAATCAATAAAATTTCTCATTTCAAATTTACGATTTCATTATGTTTAAGAAATATAGCGATTGCATACGATGATGAAACATTGCTATTTTACGATTAGTTGTCCATGCAGTTGTGCAACAGCTAAGCTAACATATATGGTAGCATCGCTACGCAAGCTGTTATTGACAAGCTATCCAATGACCTACAAATTAGAGTCCTACTATAGCAAATATGGCTAATGCTACTAAAAGTAGAAACTATTCTAAGCTCTTTCGGTTCGCACTGCTTTGCTTGCTTAATAAACATACCATTCCGCCCTGAGTAGCATGTGGTTGCATAGCTTTAACCGATTTGCCACGAGTGAGAACTTTAGACATAACCATGTCTTTGGTCTTGATACCTGCATTTCGATTTTGTGATTTGCTAGGTTCCTTATACCTGCCCCATACTTCTACGATCAGATAATCAGTCGTAAGGTAATCGATCAACTAGATTTGAAGAGAGGGAGAAAAATTTATTACAGACAACTTTCAAAATGCTCTAAAATTGGCAAAATGACGATTCCGACACTCATAGTTGACTATTTTTATGATTCTCTACAGAACTTGTCTACCTGTTGTGTTGCTGCCGAATATGAGACTAGCTTTTTAAAGTTATATTCTGGATTCCTTGTATTTTGAATAACTTCGGTAGTGATTGGTAAATCGTCTAAATAGAATTTGAATTTACACCAAGTTTCCTATTTGCAGGGCAGAAGAGAAGGAACGAGTCGGATCGTTCATTAATTATAGTTGTTTTTAAATATCAGTCCATTTCAATAATTCTTGCAATAATGAGTATTGTAACGTATGCAAGGACATTGAACTTACTAGGAATTTATTAGGAAGTCCCAAGGCATGGCTGATATTTATAAGGAAATTAACTTTTTTCCCAAGCTATAAGGTTAAAAGAAAGAAAATAGTATTTACAGTCTTGGTCTAATTAATTAAAATTTGGATAATCTATTGATTTGGAACTAAATTTATGGCTAGATTATGATAATCAAAATATAATTTTCCGAAGCATTGTTTATTCTTACTAGTTCAGACGGGCTATCGACAAAGATGTCCGCATCGATATCATATTCTTTTCCATTTTCATCACAAGGAATGAGTTCTACCTGCATGATGTAAGCCATGAAGAACAACATGAAATTATTCTCTGAAATTATAAGCATAATTTAACCTACATAGAAAGGAACTGTTCTTTCAAAGGTATTAGCTAATTAATATCATAACATACTCTAAGTTTGCCCATATTGGTCCCTTTATAGTCGGAAATTGTTAGGTGCTCCCTCATATCAATCTATAAAAATAGAGAAATATTAAATTTCTGGTACTTAAATTAGGCTATAGCTACATCTCCGACTCGTTGAGAATTACCAAATAAGAAAGGCTTTCCAAGTATACCATGGTGGTACCAATGAAAATATCAGTAGAAGCACTCTCTGTGAAAGGATCTCGTTCCTATGTCATTCAAGGCAATAAAGGCAGATAATCTTAATACTTTATGCTGAAATTAAACTATGTAATAAAAATATCGCTAAGATCTTCTACTGCTAGAGAAACTTACATCTGGTAGAGTCCAATCTTCTCCTTCGATGTAGTTCTGATACATTTCTTGCATTAAAAATTTTCGATTAGTAAATCGATTAATTGGCCATAGCCAATCTAACTTGGATTCTAAATTGGTCATCTTGATGAACGGCTACAATGGTAATAAATAATTCGGAACTGTTTAGTTATTTTGATAGCAGAGTTTGACTACTTCTATACCGTAGATCGATTTAGCCAATATTATTGGAATGGAATAAATATTCAGTGCATGATAGAATATTGAACTATTGTAATATAGCTTATTCGCGGTGATATTCCACGTTACGCAGTAACTTACTTCTGGTCTCCCTTTCGACAAGCCGCGAGCCTCTGGTGAGAGAATAACAATTTCAAAATCAACTTTTCGATCTAATTCTTGACTAATTGCATTTGCTTCTTCAACCATGGGCAAAAGTTCAATTAACTCCTCTCGAAGTAACAATTGCTCTCGTGATTTTTCTGATGTATCCATGTCAAATCCGGCCACAGCAGCAATTTCTTCTTGTGCTTTTTCATAAGTTACCGTAGGCAGCCTGATATTATTGGCCTTTGCGGCTTCCAATTCCAACGGGTGATGGAAAACATATAAGTGATTTGATCCGAACATAACCCTAATTTAAGAATAGAATGACAAATGTCGACATAAATCACATAACTGAGCTATTGGTTAAGCCTCATCATCTATTCTTATATCAAACTTCTATTCTGATATTCAATAGGATTGTATGTGTGTCTATCTTTTCTGACAGCGTTACCTATCACCATGGTGGAGAATAACTTTCGAGGTAACTGTTTCACCATTTAAAAGTACTTTTGCATTATTGCAAGCACGAACGGTAATTTGCCCATCCTTACTGGTTACAATTGCGTGTTCCGATAGAATGCTATACAATATAAAATGTACGTAGATAATTGTGATTAGTCGTTTATATTGATGCTGTTGAATTTTAACCGAATAAATTGCCATGATGCTTGATGAACTTTCAAAGAAAAGCAGAGTCTGAATATGGGGTTTTACACCCTGAAAATCAGTTTAGTAAATCTCTGTATATGAGCTGCAGGCTAAATGAGCTACAATTCCGGTATGATTATTTCGTAACGATTAACTGCTCCAATTTAGACAGTTTTGCATGTATCTGTTATTGAATTCGAGAACCGTATGCTCTTTGCAATAACGATTTAATTTGAATTAAGTTTTCTTAGCGAATAGCTGCTATATAAAAGTACGGTACATATCAGGGCAATAGACTAGATGGTTTCGTAGCTATTCCGTCTTGTTTAGATATTGATTAAAAATTATAATGATTGCATGTATTATTTGCACTCTATATGAAACGAAGTAAGGTAACGAGAAAACTGAGATCTTACCTCAAACCCTTCAGCTCGATTGCTGGCGAAGTATCACCTAAACCATTGCCAATAATATTTTCTCCTTCATTAATAGTGTGGATAATCATTGCCGACAGTTGAGAATCAACATTTAGATTCCAAAAATGTGGAGATGTTTTGGCAGCTTCTTTGACGGAGATGGCAGCTTTATTTACTTCCTAAGACATTGAAGACATTTATTAAATAATACTGCATTGCTTGTAGCACTGTAACATAACGATCGTATATTAGCATATTTTTAGATATGATGAATTCTACTTGACGTGATTTTAAACCTACCTCGTATAATTCTTGAGCCAGAACTAATTTTTCCTGCCATGATTGATTCATTTCTTCAAGCCTTCGATCATTCTCTACCATCTAAGAATATTTAATAAGAATTTAGATCAGCAATGCTTAATAATTCCTATCAATCTGCAGTTTATATGAAAAGGGTAAACGAGATTATAACTTACCCTAGCTCGTAGCTCTTCTTCCATTTGTTCTTTCATTTTGGCAATTTCTGCATATCAAATAATCCAGATTAATAAGCTAAATGACGTAATGTAAATCCATCAAGTAATTGAATTTTTTGATTTGCTCTCACCTTCTTCCGAAATTCCTTCTGCAGCTTTTTCGTCCTCATCATCATCATCCTTTGGAATTTCGCCATTTTCTAATGCCGCTTTCAACTTGGCATTTTCCTCCTGTAATTCGCGTATTAATTTCTCTGTTGGATCTTCATTAACTACCGCACTGGTCTTAATCTGCTTAGCTCGATCAGCTGTAAATATCGTATATTAATTAATCGTTAATATGATATAGTAGATTGGGTTTGTTAGTTAAAAAGAACGCGCATATGTTCTGGTCATTAATGAATAGAAACACTAGCTACTTCCGATTGTTGCCTTACCATAACGTAAAGTTGATAATGTTTCGTCAAAGTTAATATCTGCAGGGCTAATAGCTGCAATCTACCATAAAAATATCGTGTAGGATAAGTACTAGTTGGTTCAAGTTTTCCGTCCTAACTGTACAGATCAGATAGAACTAGAATCTATTCACTAACCATGATAGTTTTACTGTTTCCGCCAAGAGCATTCTTGAGCAGCTTTGTCAAGACAGAGTCACGATATGGAACTGTACCCAATATAAGCAAAGTGGATTTTAGGATAAAATAGATCGTTGATAAAGTTTTAAAAGCTGATATATAATAGAACTGAAATACTCCCACTGAGGAAAGTAGCATTAATTTGATGATGTGATTTGTAAAAATTATAAACGGAAATTATTCCGACGTTTCATTACTCGCCATGGCGTACCTCGAACATTCTTTCCATTCGCCTTGTCAGCAAGCGCTTTGCAAAGATAGATAGTAGTTTAAAATGAGTACTTTACTTTTATAGTAAGTGAACTTTATTAAATGTACGTAGCATGATTAGTATTAAGCATTGTCGTATGATTTTTAGCGACTAATTTAACTACCTGCAATAACATTGCCAAGACTGGATAACGACTGATTAATAGCTGCACCTTCCTTCAAGCGATCTCCAGTAGCTCCTGTAGAATCAGCTCGTTCACTAAGTCATAGAATTTAAAATTTCTTTCAGAGGCGAAATAACGGATACTAGATCTGTAACTCAAATTACAGCATATTTTCTATTCTAAATTAGATATCCTTGTATGGCGAAGGAGATATTCCTTAAAATATAATCCTAACATTTACCTTCCAGCTAAATCAACCAAATTTATAATGGCTGATTTTGTCGTTTCTTGACCTGCAGCGTTCTTTCCTTTCTGATGAAAAGTAACTCCAACAATTGTGTGAGCACGGCTATAAGGAAAAAGATGTAAAAATGATTGCTATATACTGTAAAAGGATCTCGAGATTACCTTGTTATGTAAGAGGCAGAGGCTGTAAATATCTAAATTATCTTACCTGCTGGTGGCATTCATTAAAGTCGCTGCTACTGTTCTATTTCTTGTTCCTTCTTCCATTCTGTTCTCGATATCTTTGTAGGAATTAACTGGTACTGTCAATAACGATTCCACTACAAAAAAATTGCTGACTCAGTAATCGATATTCGATCCAATTGAGATTAAGATATTTTTATTTAGCTGCTTATTATCCATTGGATTCACTGTAGATTACCGTAAAATCCTTTTTTGGGATGTTGACGAACTCTCAATCCTTTCTTGGACTTGGATTTAGAATTAAGTAGGTCACGAACCTAGAGCAACACCAATGAAATTTTATTAGTCTAGTTTACTTTAGCAATAGAGTGTAGCACTAGTAATTACAACCGATATCTAAGTAAGAGGATAGAAACCGTTCTGGCCGCTACTAGTTACTTGTTCAATTATAATCGCAAATGTGATTTGATTTTATTCGATAAGTTAAGATAGTGAATAAGACATCTGACTAGTTTTATATACATTTACCTGCTCATTATAGATTTCTAACATGCTAAAAGAGACCTGAAAGAATTAAAGAGCAATAGAGATGTTAAATTTGATAAAGTAGCAAATGTTTGTTTTACACGTGCATTCGCTGATTATTGTATAGCTTTATAACGCAATGATCGGAGATATTTTAAGGCCATCATTGCACGGCAGTATTACCTCAAATTCAGAACTGTCGCCGCTCTCTTTCTTTCCTTCTATACCTTTAAACATTTCGTCGCAAAATAAGGGTACGATACCTGATAAAAAAATCGCAGGAAAATGTTAACTCTAATTTTATCGAAAAGGCACGGTTTAATTTTCTATATTCATGATATTGTGATCGATGTACTCAATATAGAGCCCTTTTAGGTATCCAATCGAAAGTATAAAAATGAACAAGTAAACTTCATATACTATAACACTAATTAAAGTTTTATAAAAGGAGTACATTTAACAGAAAAGAGAGATAATATAGTTTACCTTTATTTTTTCCATATCCAACAATGGAATAAGATTTCCCGGAACCAGTTTGGCCATAAGCAAATAGTGTGCTATTAAAGCCATTCCAAGCATTGTCGAGTACACCTCGGCCTAAGTCATCAAATACTTTTTTCTGTATGGCATAGTTGGCATTATTTTGAAATAGAAGAGAAGAAGGAAAGAAATTAATATCAAGCTTAAGATGAGAGACTATATTTTATCGCTAATATAATAATGGAGGAAAATTTCAGTATAATTTATAGTTCATAGCATTACTACAATAATCAATCCAAATACTTAATTTTTATGAGCAGTTTTAATCATCATAACGAAGGCAAAATAAAACTAACCTGATCAGCATAATGGGGATGGGTGGGTGCAAGATAGCCATCGTCTTGTTCCTCGTAGTCATCATGTGACCAATAACTAAAATCGAAGGCAAATTTTCTTGGTTCTTCATTTGGTTGTTCTGGATCGATTAATTCTGTGACATTGTCGTGCATATTGACTATTAAACCAGCATTTCTTGCTTTTTCACGCGAATTGTAAGAATGGTTAAGGTTGATCAATTAACGAAATCATGCTTGCCATTAAAATTATAGTACAGGTAGTAATCAAATTAGTAATTCTTAGTAAATTGATATTGGTCAATTATTCGCATGATATGTCTTTGATTTATAGCCATACTGAAGGAAACATAATACAAATTATTCTAGTTTCTGACTTTGCTAGTGATTGTCTTCTTCACATTATACTGTACATATAAAATAACTAAGAGAATAGCACAGCATCCGCATCTCATTCTTAATCAGATATCATCAAATAAAATGAAGTTCCGATTTCAAGGCGTGAGTATGAGAAAATTTAAGCCACTGTTAACGTGAAATAAATATCCAATTCTATTCTCGTACGTGTCTTACATCATCAGCAATACGTCAATTTATAACAAAAATATGATAAATGTGATTTTGTAACCCATAAAGCGTATTATCTATTTTCTCTGCTGGTAAGCAATAATTTAATGTACGATAGCATTTTCTGATACAGGTGAAAATGTGAATAACTTTGATTTGATATGGATAACGTAGTGTAAACAAAATAAGTGAAGGATTGGTGATTAGCCTTTGGACGAAATATTAAATAGAATGAAGAAACTGCTTCCAAAGTGAATGATAAAAATTAATAATTTTTCACTGAGATTTAATGTCATTGCCGTCTTGAACTATCCCGACGGCGGCCATAACACGAAAACTGGCTTATCATAAACGGATAAGTGATTAATACCACTTCACCGTTTTATATACCGCAAGTTATAAACAAATTAAGATACATCATATGGTTATAGTGGGTTAGAATCTTTGCGTTATAGTTCAGGTTTATCATAGTATTGAAACGGCAATTATAATACAAAAATTGATTTATCATTAAATCAACTTGTATATAGGTCCAAAGTATTGCCGTTGATTAGAAACTTTACTTACTTTAGTTTATGGCACTCAACTGTTTTAAATTAATTTAATCGTAAATGAGCTTGGTCCTAAATACGGTTCCGCTAATTAAAAATTAAATTCTAAGTCAAATTTGTCTTAGTTATCTTAACGATAATGAGATAGTTGGCCTACCATAACCTAATCCAGTAGATAGGCTAAGGCAACGTTCCGGGTACATAACTATTTTAGCAAAATCGAAATAATGTTTATTCCATCGTACCATTGTGGTTGATTGACGTATCGATTCCATTTTCTGAACTATCATAACGCTATTAAGATTATTCTTGTCAAAATAAAATCGACTTTTAATATAAGACATCAATTCTACTAAGTCATGAAAAAAAAATTTATTCTATCAAGCGAGTATAGCAGATCAGAATGTAAAACAGACTTCATGAAAGGATATAAATGGCCTAACGCGAACGGCAACTTTAACGTTTTCGTCTGTCATGGCGGTTAACAGTTAAATTCTGGAGTTCTGAATCAATCCAATTTCTGACTTGTCGAATCTAAACGTTAGAATGGTCTACTTTAATATTGATGCTGTCAGTTTAGTTATCTTAGTCTACAGAAATCAATGCAAAGGTCACTACTTGGTAAGCACTCCTAAATGTAGCGTATAATTCTATTTTCGTCGGCTTCACTTAGGTGTTAAAAAGAGTATATCATACAGAAAATCATGAGACTATGATGTTTATAACTGGTTGAGCACTATACTAATGAAATACTGCAAAAGTCTGTTCTAGCTTAGCCTTATCAATGACTTTTTCGCTGCCTCTATAAATAGATTGTTTAATAAACCTACCCAATCAATAATAACAAATATAAAAATTAAGTCTTCATAACCTATACTAAATCCTATATGTGCACAGTTTGTAGTCGAATGAATAGGCTTTTAAATAACCTATTAAGTTGTCGGTATGGCATACCAATAATAACACCTGGTTTCAATATAGTTCCTTATGTGATCACTGAGTGTCTCCTGTATTTCTCCTGTATACTATTAAATCTAAATCTACGGTAATTAACAACTATCATACTCATATTCCTTATAACTGCAGAAAAATGACCTATGACCTGTTGCTAACAACATAAATCCACACCTTGATATTACAACTCTAGTATTAAAATAGATGTCGCCTTGGCAACAGTTTCATGGCGTAGAAGGATTACTACGTGAGGGTATAAACTGACGTCATACAGACTTAATGTGGAACTTAAAATAAATCGATCATAAATGGATTATAGTGTGCTTTAGATCAATGAAACCAATTACAAAAATTGTGCAGTATTATAACCGGCATTAACAAAGTATGAACGGTGTAATAAAACTAACATTCTAGCATAAGCAGCATTGCATATGTAAATGTTATGGATAAATCGATAGAAATCAATATTTATAAAGCTACGTGGGAGGAAAAATTAGCAATTTTGTGTATCGTTGTTACGATACTGCTTATAACTTAAGTAATTACGGCATTGGTTAGTGAATAATAAGCATCTTAGAATAGTCTAGATAAAGCCATATGCTATGTTTAATGTTCGATTTGCTAGGCTTGGAGTTGATGTTTTGGTAATAGAATCGTGATATAAAACAAAAATTACAGCCAATTAATTTACTATAAAACGAAAGGCGAGCTACTTCTAACAATTGAACCGTTTATGGACAGAGGATGAGTATTGCTACCCTCGAAGTTTCAGAATATCTACATACTCGTATCTATTTAGTAGTTTCATAATTCATAAAACAAAGATATCGTGCATTAAGTGCCTGAGTACCAGAATACTTATAGTAGATTATAAGGTACTATAGATTAGTAGGAAGAAGTGCAGAATTTTATAGCTGTATATCATACGTCTGTAGCAAAATATGAGTGGTATAAAATAAAATCAACAATTTTTGTGCTATATCGAAATACGAGAGTATTAAACCAGGTGTAGAACTTGATATTTTTCAATCATAGCTTGAACAATGATGTCTTAATGTTACTGCATCATGACTCGATCTACCATAGAAGTCATGAAACCATAAACTAAAAATTAGCAAGTTCATTCATTTTAATTATAATATAAGTAAATGATTTGATATGGTTTAACCGACATTGTATAAGAACAATTATAGCTTTGCTAGATTATTTTAATTTTACTAAAATCGATTTTTTTAGGCGAAAATAAGTGGTTTCATATCTAATCGATAAGATTTTAATACTAGTACAGTTCTTATAGTCTAACTCGCTACGTAATACATGATTAGAATAATTGCTGACGTAGGTGAAACAATAACTATATTACGGGTTTCTTTTAAAATGACTGGTAAAGTAGATAAATAATAAACCAAATTGTTCGTAGTATTACCTTTTAAACAGTTTACAATGTATTCATGAGCTGTGAGTTAGTATAAGAATTAATACAACATTAATGTAGTTAAATGCTTTCATATTTGCTTATGCATTCTGGTTATCATAAGAAGTAACGTCTCGTAAATTTCTTAATACTTGAACATAGTAAGGCCAGTGATTGTCTGACCTTTAGCAACATAATGCTTATAAACTACATCTTTAGAATTGAAAAAAAAACGATATTCATCACTTTAACTTTAGAGCGCTTTGCTTGGCCTTCTTTGGATGTGGAGAATTCGAACATTTCCGTTGAGATGACATTGACTTGGTCTCTGATCGTATCCATGGACCCATGTTTCATCTCTTGTATCAAGAACTATATAAAAACGATCAATGGAAGTAAGTAGTACATTCAATATTCAATACTGACCGGCTATGATACGTTTGGTGTAAGTTGGATTATCCGCAACTTTTTAAAGCATTTCTTGGCTGACCGTCTGCCGTTGCAACTTATGGTCAATGGTTAGCAGGCGTGGTACGAACTTCGCAGCGACGCGATAGATGTTCAAATCAACCGTAAGTATGGTAAATGCACTTTAAATGGAAATACCAATACCTTTAGCCATCTCAGGTACTGTTAAATGGCGATCTGATTTGATGAGCTCGTTAACTTTATTGGTTAAGCCATCGGTTTATAAAAGTACATACGGAAAGTAAGTTTTAAGGAAATACGTGAATGATGTTATGGAAAAGTTATAATGGATAGGAACGAATGAGAATATTCTAATTTAATGTTAAAAGAACAACGATATTGTAAAGGTTATGAATTGAAGCAATTATTTTTTTAATTCCTTTTTTATTTATAATGAATAATAAAAGCACAATTTGGTAATAAAAATTGCCAAAAACACCACGAAATCATGCTACTGAGAGATTCCCTGCTCGTCTTAGATTCTGCCTTCATTGATCAACTTTGTCTTCAGAATTAAATCTCCAATACCTATGTAAGAGTATTAGCAATTGTAGCTTAATAATTTAAGGCGTATTGGGTAAGATAAGTAGCAGTAATTTTTAACTATTGAATATTCGATATATTAATTTGCGGAATAGTTGCTTGTTGATGTGACAACTATTGATTCCCATTAATTAATTATTAGAATATTTGTGATCACATACAAATAAACTGATAAATGAATTACTTATTACATTGAAAAAGAGTCGGTCACCTTGCTTAAGTAATAAAAAGCTTGCTAGCCATGTTAATTTTGTCACCATTAACATTTACGCTATTAGCTCAGCATAGCTCGGCATAGGAGAACTATCATTAAGCTAAGATATTTGGTATTATTCAATAACTTTAGTCAGAGCAAGCCCATAAATGAACTGAATTTGAGCATTTATTTATGATGTAGTACAAATAATTTTCATTAAACGCAGTCAAGTTAAGGTTCTTAATTGGGGAGTAAGTTAATCAAGAATGACAATTATGATTTATAAAATTAGGTATAAATAAAGATTGCCGTAATATTACAACCATATGAATCATATGAACGCTCTATCGATGTATAAATGTTCACATCTATTAATTAATTTTTCTTTGATCAATTCATTCATAACATCACACAGTAAAATGATAAAATGTCTTTCGAATATTAATGTATAAGTTTTTAATGATATCAACGATGATTGCTTAATCGATTGATTTTCTTTAAACTGATTACTACAGTACTATATATATACATATTTATTTTGATTCTTCCAATATTGGCCACCTGTTATAGTACGAGAATAATCGTCTTAAGAATGAATGGAATATCATTCAAGAAGAACCTAATCTAGAGTAATAAATGATATTGCCTTTAAAAATTGAATAAACAACTAAAATATACACGCATATATGGTAGTTTATCATAAATGTAATTTACCAGAAATTTGTGATGTAATAAATATTCTATTTTAAGAGATCGACATTAGGACGTGTACTTCAGAAGATTTAACGCCCTTTTTTATCCATTCGTTTCATAATAGATGAGTTTGGACCCGCCGACTTCGTTGGCGATAATGTCTGTAGTACTTGAAATGTATAAGATCCCAGGTATCTCTATTAGAGTTATATCTTTATAAATGATCAGCTTTTCCATCAGCATTAAAGCCTCTAGTACACGGGTATTAGCTATTAGCCACGAAGGTATGGCAGGATCATTGTAAGTCTAAGATATTTACTATCATTTAATTACTAAGAGTACAGTAAATTTATAATACAACTGAATTTCAGCATTCATCAATGCTATGCATAGTACAAGTACTTTTCAAAAGAGAAGTCAAAGCTAAGATCGTCACTTAAGGATTGAAATTAATGAGGAATTATGATGTCTAAAATCAAGCATAATCAAGATTCGTCTTGGTATTTCTTTCTTGATTTTATTAGTATTCTATTGATACAAATGAAATTCACATCTATTAATTATCCTTTAATCATCATCTATGATATCGTAGAATGATAAATATCGAAATATCGATCTATAAATGATTCACGATAAAAAGCAGTTATCGTTTTATTTATTAATTTCTTGCTCTAAAACGTTACAGTATGTCTATACAAGTTCATCAAGTTTTTTTAAGATGACTATATCCTGTTACATCGTTAGAATGATGGTCTCGAACATGAATGATACATTATTTTAGAAGAACTAATTTAGAATTTAACTGTAATGAAATGAAATATGTAGAGATCAAGCTACGAAACTTTAACAAACTTTGATTCTACTTTCGTTGCACTCCGGTCGAGTTAACGCTAATACTTTGACACCAAATAAAATTTGGGGAAATAACCGAACAACAATTTATTACAAAACAAGAATGGAGAGAAACATAAACCGAACAACCTTACAAATACTTAGCTTTAAGTATTATTAAAATAAATGACAGACTTAAAAACTGTCAACGACCAAACAACCTTTCAAAAAGAAGAACGTTTTAACTTACGACAATTCGACCCCGAAGGCCTTTTAAATTCAACAAGTTCTTCAAATAAAATCTTCTCCTACTCTCTCTTCCTCTAAATTTTCTAATTGCACTATCATTTATAGGCTTCGTAGAGCCGTCAGAGGTATTTAAAACTAAACATTTGCTAACCAATCGCTCTTAAGATCCGTTTTACAAAACTACTTTGCACCATTTAAGAAAACAAAAATCATTCAAAGTTCAGACACAATTTACCCTACGATTCCCTTACAAAACACTATAAAAGTAACAAGCTAACTATAAAAATACATCAAACTTCATTTCTAACATAGTTTCTGTCATTAATACACTATAAAAGTCTAAAAATCAACCTTTAAACATCAAGATTTAGTCATAAAAACAACATTCTAACTACCTAACAATCAACACAACCTCTGCCAATTTCCATCTTATTTTCTATTTTCCTCACTAAATCTCCTAATGTGACTTCAAATCACGTCATAAAATTCCAAAGTTTCAAATTCATAACAAAAAGTCCAAATCTCAAAATCAACTCTTACGATATTTTTCATGAACAAAAATCCAAAAATTAAAACAGAAAAATTATAATTCAGACATAAATTAAAAATAAACCCGACCGGTTCCAAAACAGGAAAATTATATCGGACACAAACCCGACCGGTCCCAGAATCCGAAAACTATATCGGACACAAATCCGGAAAAATTCGCTTTTTATGAAGATCACAGTAATCGCTTATCAAAAAAATTTATATGACTACTACGACTACTTTTCTGACATTAGTATCGCTTAGTATCCGCGAGTATTGACAGTTGATGTTTTAGCGTCAGATTGTACTGTAACTGTACGAGTATAGACTACATTACAGTACTTTATCGTCATGTTATAAATCCCCTTTCTCTAAGGATAGGGTTTTGCTACTAAGTCAAATTTCTTTACAATTTGAATAGACGATCAAACGCCCTTTCTTTAGATTAGGCATTTGCTCTATAGGGCTACTTCTATAGTAATCTATATAATACCTTGCAAAATAATGAAGAAGAAAAGATGGCGACATGATGATTTGGCAGGGGAAAACTTAAAGACACTATCACTTTCTAGGTATTTTCTATAGTAAAATAATACTAATTACATACTAAAAACTACAAAGGACTCTACTTTTAGTCCTTTTACTACATAACGTACATGATATTAGTCGTTGTAATTTAATTAACTTAAGCAAGTACTACAAACGCGACATACCCGTAGTATATTATAGACATTAAGCACTTGAAATTTATCGTATTGTCACGGTACGAACTACCGTGAAGAAATAGCTATCTAAATTTGGTTAATATAATATAGTGATATTATATTACAACTAGTTACTTACTATAGGAATTACTCTAATTATAAATGTGTTACAGTAAATTTAATGCTGTGCTGTAATGTGCACTGAAATGATTCTGTGGATGGACATTTTGTAGTCCGACTGTGAAAAACTAGCTATCTCTCCTAAGTATTTTTATAAGATGACTTGTGAATGTTAGCTGCTGTAGAAGGGTATATAAGCCCGTCAGATATTTGAATAAAGCAGTTCTCAATTGTATAGTAGTTTTAACGTAGAATCAAAGGCGTCTAAATTCTTGTGAGGTAGTTAAGGGATACTGAATCTCGGAGACTATAGTAATTTAGAGATTTATTTTACGTTATCCTTGTCACGAAGCTGGTTTGTGACACGTATAATAAATAATTTATTTAGACATTCGTCATAATTAAATTGGTCTTCCTCTGCGCGATATTTAAAACGAAGAATGGCACTAGCAGATTCACTAGCTTCAGTCCACTCATTTTGTATTGGGTTATACGTATGACAATGACGACGTCTACACGAATTCCAAATATAATTTAAACATCCGTCGTAAACTGTTAATACATGAGAGTCAGGAAATTCTGAAAATGGTATGCTCCAATTTAATAATTCCCACGTATCAGTGCTAGGGTTATATCTTTCAAAGCTCCTAACTTTCCATTTATTATTCTGGCCTCCGCCTACATAAATTAAATTATCTAAAACAGCAACCACGCTATCATTTCTGGCAACATTCATCGGAGAAACATAAACCCAGTGATCACTACCACTCTCCAGATAGGCTACCTCATTAGTCGCAGTTGATGAATTTTCGTGGCTACCGCCAATAATATATAAGCGATTATCACATAGACAAGGCGATAACAGTGCAATGGGTTTAGGAAGTGGCGCCAAATCCGCGTTACTCCATCGAACTTTGCAAGTATCGAAGGCTATGATACTACGCAATATATCTACATTATCTAGAAATAGAGTAATTCATTTTATTTTCTCTAAAGACATAAAATTGATAATCATGTTATGTCAACGTAACATTAATATTTCAAAATAACGATTAATAGACGGTAAGTATTGCCCTTAAGCGAGAGAATAGCAGTTTAAAAATATGAATAGTTCCTGCATTTTATTTACCTTTAGTAATTCCACCAAACACAAGGATTTTATGACCTATTGCTAAGGCGCCATAACTACTTCTATTTGGTGATTCTACGTTGAAATGAGTCTTTTTGTAATCAAATGAGTTATTTTGGGTTTTTAATTTAATATCTATAATGCAATCCTTTCCTGAACTAAACCTGGATATCCATACAGATTCTCCGTCTTTGGTATAGTTTCGAAATTGGCAACGACTAGAAAAATGTCTTTCAGGTGACGATAGAAATGATTTGGCTTCAAGCAGGAGCTGAAGACAGCGTGAAGAGTTAAATATT